TGTCTATAATACAAAGGATTCCTAAAGACTTTTATAAGTTTCTAAATCTATGTAAATTCTTTTCAGGTGCTGTGCTGTCAATATACATTGTACATTATTTTCAGCATATAAACATACAAAAATGTGTATGCAAACTTTATAAACACTAACAAATATTAATAAGAGCATGTTTTCCCCCCCATGTCAGTTATGTGTTTAACCTCATCATGATTCTTCTTCAGGAAAAAGAGCTCCTCTTTCAGACTGTCCAGGTCTCCTCGGAGGGTTGCGATGATCTGATCATGATCAGATTTGGCTCGTCTCAGAGCATGGCAGTCTCTCTCAACCGACTGGCAAAGGGAAGCTTCTGCCTCCCATCTGTTTATAAAGACATAATATAATGTACCAATTAAACCTAGAAATTAAAACAAAATGGTAGAATACATTTCATAATGGATCTTTCTCAAGGATTATAAGGAGGAACAAACAGAGCAAAACTCACTTGACCCTAAAGTCATCTGCTGCAAGCTTGGCATTGTCAATCTCCAGCATTATACGGGCGTTCTCCAATGTCTTTTTCCTCACCTAGAGAGCAGAAGTTTGATTGTAACTGTCTGTAAAGACACAACTGAACATTCCTGCTACGTTATTGTCTTAACCAAAGCAATAAACAGAACTTAAATTCCACTAGATAACCGAACCTCTTGTCCGATCGCATGTGCTTGAGCCATCAATCCCTCAATGTCGTGACCCTTGGGTGATCGCTCAGTCATCAACTGTTTAATCTTCAGCTCCAGGTCAGCGTTAGACTTCTCTAGAGTGCGCACCTTTTCCAGATAGCTGGCAAGTCGGTCGTTTAGACCTTGCATGGTCTCCTTGTCACTGGCACCAACTCCCAGACCATTCAGTGAGAGGTTGCTTAGGAGGTTTAGGCCATTTCCCAGAGAGGTGGAACGGGACAGGGACAGACTACTGGCTGAGGAGAGGGACACTGGGACTTTAGAGCGTCCACGAACCCCAAAATCACGCATAGACATGCTGGAGAAAGACGGCTGCCGTCCAAGAGAGTGACTGTGAATAGAGAAGCTGGAGGTCATTGTGCTCGCAGAACCAGAGAGGGGGTTTCTTTATGTGATCTGTTGGTAAAGAAATATTCATTTTTTGTTATACTCTGAATGCAGCTTGTCGTTCATTTATGCCATATGAAAACTATAGAAAACACAGAATACCATAGCTCTCCATTTTTACAGTTTCACTCTTCATTAGACATATTTTTAATATTTAAGGAGCTATTTAATGCTTTTAATGTTATGCTGCAGTGAAGAATTTACCATAAAATATTTGGGAGATTACAGATTGTAACACAATACAATATTTTGCATTTTAATGGCAAAATCCCTGTTTTCATACAACAGCAACAACAAAAAATGGTAATTTGGTTGCAAACAAAGAAGAATAGGGACTTTGTGAAGATGAAATGTAATACTTACATGTATTGTATCCAAATGTAGTGCAGCGCCTGTGTGTTGGTTTTGTCCAGAGAATAACTGTTGGCTTTTATTTGTAGTTGCTCAGGTTATATATGTGCTAGGACTCCTCCTGAAGAGCTGTTGACTATGGAAGTCTATTACCAGCCAATCACATCCCTCCACAGGTAAAGGATATTTCCTGACTGAAACCAAAAAAAAAAACACAATGATATTTTCCCAAGGCATCATCCACAGATTACATTGCACATTTGATTTAGAAAAATGTCAGTAACAAATTACGATGCTTTCATTAAACCATTGCTAAAAAAAAACGTTTCTGAAAAAGGTTAATACAATGAAATTCAAAGGGGTCCGTTGTTGTTTTGACACCAAAATTATATTCTTTTATGTTCCACATTAGAAAAGTTTGGAACAATATGATAGTAAGATCATTGTCATTTTTGGGTGAACTATCCCTTAAAGACAAAACTGACAATTACAGTTTATATTAGAAGGGACTTCATACCCACTGTGGGACAGGGTGTACTGCAATAATCATAACCCATTTTTTTCTGTATCTTGTGTAACCTGATTTACTTTAGAGAAGGGGGGAAAGTCCATTTCTGTACATTGAAACTATTCAGCCAATACAATGACCTGTAACCTGAGAACTGCTTCACGCAGAAACGGTTCTCCAAAGCCTCACAAACCAGGAATAAGCTCAAACAATGAAATGAGCTCGTGAGAGAGTGCAGAAAGGCAAAACCTATGAGAAATGTTTCTATTTGGGGAGGAGGTTGACCTAATTATCTAGTTAACACACACTGTGACTGAAAATCTGAATGAATTCTTGAATTTAGATTCAAGATTTGATTCTTGGTGTTTTTCATCTTTCATGACGCTAGTTTTATCGTTAACAAAAAAAATCACCATGTTTCCTCACCAGTAGCTACCCTCACCATGTTTTTTGAACATTTACACGGTAATACCGTATTCTGTGAAGTATAATAGTGCATGGTGCATAAGATGGTGACGAATGGTAGGGTCCTAAATGATTGCCACCATGCCCCCTCTATCTAAATAGACTAAATAGAAGTCAGTAAAGGCGACCCTTCCATCACAAATAACATGCACTATTTTGAATAGAGTCAGCAGCACTATCATGTGGGCACAACTGAAATGGGACACTGATGTTGTGCTGACCGTGTGCATGGATAAAACAGCCACAACAAAACAAAAATTCACCCTTATAAACATGTGTTAACATATGATTAACGGGGCGGCAGTGGCTCAGTGGTTCATGTAGGTTGTCTACAAACTGGAAAGTTGGTGGTTCAATCCCCGGTTCCACCTGACCAAGTGTCGAGGTGTCCATGAGCAAGACACCTAACCCCAGCGGCTCCCGACGAGCTGGATGGCGCCTTGCATCATGGCTGACACCGCCGTCGGTGTATGAATGGGTGAATGTGAGGCAATATGTAAAGTGCTTTGGTGGCCATTGGGTCTGTGAAAGCGCTATATAAATGCAGTCCATTTTACCATTTTTTTATTTTTATGATGTATACTGTATACAGTATGACTATTGCATAATACGTTTATTCAGCAAGGATGCATTAAATGGATCAAAAGTGACAGTAAAAACTTTTGTAATTTAAGATTTCTAATAAATGTGTTTTTTTTTTTTTACTTTCTTCAAAAAACCCTGAACATGTGTCAAGGTATCCACACGGTTTTCAACATGGATGATAATAAGAAATGTCTCTTGAACACCAATTCTGCACATTAGAATGATTTCTGAAAAATCATGTGACACTGAAGACTGGAGCAACGACTGCTGATAATTCAGCTTTGCAATCATAGGACTAAATTACATTTTTAAAATCTATTAAAATAGAAATTGTAATAATATTTCACACTATTTCTGTTCTTTTTGAATTTTTGATCACACCAATGCAGTCTTCTTTAAAAAATGACATCTTACTGTCCTCAAACTTTTGGACATTATTGCACTACAGCAAAAAAAATAATAATTAGTGCACTTTAAAAATGTATCAGTAGTAAATTGTATAGTAAACATTATAGGTGCACTGCAGGGAAGAAATTACCCATAATTGACTAGGAAGGACAAGCAGTTTCTAGATCGGTGTTCGGCCATTGAGGCTTATTGTAAAGCTTAAGTGTGTCCAAATCAATACAAGCCTGAGATTCTTTCAAGAAATGGTGACATTAATGGACAGTGCAGTAAATCAATGCATCATGCAGTATTCAGTGCCTGTAACTGCCGGCCTGGTCAACATTGAATTGCTCACTGAATGAATAGTTTAATGGTCATTATTTGATTGGACATTTTTTCAAATTGTGATTGCCCTTAAACACACACAGAAAAAAATTGAGACTTTCAACGTCCACTGGAAATATTACATACCAATGAACATGAGTGAATAAAATACCTTGATGGCTGTATTATATTGGGCCATTAGATGAACTGACAGATAATTGACAATTGCTAGAGTGCAAGAAAACAAATGTCGCCAGGGCTGTGGCAATTTTTTAGCAATCAGACAGACAGAGACTAGATATAAAGATGTCAATTGGGCATTATTTTTTCTTTTCTTTTCTTTTTTTTTGGCAAATGAATATATAAGATGAAAAGAGTACACTTTAACTATATGACAGTTGGAAAAGCCTAATCCCAATCAAGTAAAATGTTTCTCGGTTCATTTAATCCATCTCACAAGTTTTGAGCAACTTTTGGCATCAAATTAGCACTGGATATACTGACTATTAAGGATTTTAAAAACAGATGTGTTCCATTTTATTGAAGAGTCACCATTTTACGATTTCCAGTCAATCCCACGATAGCTTTCAAAATCCTTTGAACTCAATATTCTCTTATACAGATTGTAAATACACCTGCTACAGATAATAATTGGAAATTAATAAATGCAGAACCATCTAAAGAGAACTGATGTTTCTTGATGGATTGTTAATAAAAGTGAACTTTTTTAATGTGGTACACTATCATTTGAGGTCAGCAATATTTATAATTTTTTTTTACTATTGTCTTATGTTCTCTTATGTTCAAGGCTGCATGTATCTGACCAAAATAAAAACAGTAATACTGTAAAAAAAAAAAAAAAACACACATATATATATATATATATATATATACATATATATATATTATAATTTACAATAAAATAACTGATTACTATTTATATAATATATTTTATTATGTAACAAATATATTTCTAAATGTAATTTATTTGTGATGGCAAAGCTGAATTTTCAGCATCATTACTGATTTCTGAAACAGTTCTTATTATTTTTGCTTAATATTTGTATGGAAACTGTAATACATATTTTCCTGATTGAAGAATAAAAAACGCATTTAAATGTATTTATAGGCTAATAGAAGTCTTTTGTAGCATTACAAATGTCTTTACTGTCATTTTGATCAATTTAATACCTCCTTGCTTAAACAAGTAATAATTTCTATGTAGAAATCTTACTGAACCCAAACTTTCGAACAGTATACAATCAGCACTTAAATCAAACAATCCCCACATAAATGATTATACATCAAAAGATCTCAAGGAGCACATGATATGCTGAAATAGAGGACAGTCTCAGTGAGTCTCAGGTCTCCCTGAGGGCAAGAAGTACTGGTTATCTGACAGAAAGGGCACTCCAGAGGTCTGGTATCCGTCCCGTGGAGGAACGCTGTCATGAAGTGGGTTCCTCTTCTGTCTGGCTCTACAGTTTTGGAACCAAACCTACAAGAATTCAGTACTAGTGGTTAAAAATTAAATTAAAAAGAACCAATTTAATTGAGTGAGTCACTAGAAACATGAGCCTATAAATGTTCTGCACCTGTATGACTCTTCTGCTCAGCCCAGTCATGTCTGCCAGCCTCTGCAGAGTCTGTGCATCAGGGTTCTTGTCTTGGATAAAGTGGGTTTTCATAATCTGTATAAAGCAAATACACATGCAAGCCCAATCTGATATGCAAAGATTTATGAGTAGTACACATTTATTTGTGGTTTAGGATGAATCCTTGGACTTAAAAAAAAAACAATCAGAAGCACATGACTGCAGTTAGCTGTTACAGTCCATTTTACCACAGGAAGAGAAAAAGCATCCGAAGTGTACCTGTAGCTGTTCTGAGGTGAATGATGTACGAGGTCTTTTAGGCAGCTTTGGGAGATACTGTATGGCCCCGTACAAATCATTTCCTGTTGTGATACAAATATCCTCATGTTTAATGTTCTTACTACTTAAAGCTATTGTTTTAATGTCCTTTTCCGTTGGTGTTATGTATGAAATAAAATGCAAACAAAATTACCATTGTCTGACATGGGCTGTAGGTTTAGCATTATGTCGTAGTGAATGCGACAGAGAACCTGGTTCTCCATCAAGCCGAACTCCTCCCCTGTAGAAAGCTGCCTTTTACAGAAGAAGCAAGCGAAGCAGGTGAGATGATATATGCCGTTTCCTGCCCTCCGAACCCAGTCATTTGCACTGACTTGATGGCCACATCGGACACATTTTATGCCAAAAGTACTGAAAAGAACATGTATTATTTTCATGCTGTTATACATCATTCTGTAATCACGACATTTGTCACAATCATTTATTTTAAGAGTTTTCAGAACTTCAGTTTTCTCAATTTTCTTCTTCTTCGGTAATATAAGTCAGGTTGCTGTTTGTAACTTTGAAAGCTCCACTTTAATAAAAAAAAAAGGACATTAGTGAAAGTCCTGATATTAAAGCTTTATTATAAGTTAACATATTATATTATACTATATATTATATTATATTATATTATATTATATTATATTATATTATAGGCCTAAATTCAGATAAAATGTTTCTTAAACCTTTTACCTTTTATGTACTAAAAGTTTTCTGTTTATTATAAAATTATCAAATACAGTACAATTTTATAAGCACGTGCAGTATTGTTGTCAACCAACACACAGTAAATGTAAATAAATTATGAAAATCCCCAGAAATTGAGGAAAGCTTGGGGTGGGAAAGATTAAACACTTTACCTGTTATAATCCTTTCTACAGAAAATAACTTTATTTCTGATAAAGCAGCTGTTATGGTGACCCAAGGAAACTGCGCACATTGAGCACTGCAAACATTTCAGGTGCCACGTTAATCCATTCACCTTTGAGAAAAATAACGTTAAATATCTGTAAATGCTCAAAAATATTTGTATTTGTCGTATTCATTCAATTAAAAGGCACATTATGTTGACAAATGTATTATCACTAATCTTTCGCCGTCACTGTGAGGTTCATAAGCACCTTCAGCACTTGTCGGTCCACAATGTCTGTCCCGCAGCGCGCGCATATGAATAAAGAAGACGATATCGATGAACACCTTGGTGTCAAAACAGGTCCTTTCTCCCTTAAACTCTGGAAAAATATTTAGAATACCCAATTTATTTCGTAATAAATGAGTTAAAATAGCCTAAGTAAAAACTTAATCAATTCATCTACTTACCATTTCTGTGCGCGAGGATAGCCTACTTGAAGCGATGAGGAGACTGCATGGGATTTAAAACCCGTCTCACCAAATACCACTCACACAAATCCTGAATATGGAAGCTAATGCTACACTTAGGTCCAATTATAACAGAATTATCGATCTTAACCTCTCTTTTATTATATGGCACATGATAACACTTCTGAAGGGCTTAGAGCCTCTAAGCCCTTCAGAAGTGTTATCATGTGCCATACAATAACAGCAAAAGTCCATAATTAGGATGACTTGAAAAGTTCAGGATTGGAGACAGCCAGAGTGTACATTTCAGCTGTCAGTCAAAGGCAATAAGGCCATCATCAAAGAACACAGACAGGAAATTCAATACAAGCATTTTGTGGCATTTGCCAGCCAGCACTTGACATGGTTTAGCTGGTTAAGAAAAAAAATGCTTTACGTTAAAATTGTCTTTTTTTTAAAGAAATTTTTATTTTATATTAATACATTTATATTATTTTATACAGTGTATTTCAAATATCTGTGAGAGATTTGGTTGTAGATCTCTAACCTCGTTACCAAAATATCTTTAATTAATAGACTTCAAAAATTGTTGTTGAAATGACTTCTTGTTACAACCAACCTCAGTAACTTGGTTTTGTTGTAAATGAATGCATTTTTTTTCCAGTAATGTTTCTACTTTAGCATATAGGCTATGAACTGTGGCAACACTTTTTGCATTTCCTTGAGTTTTTTCAGAGACTGTTTGTATTGGAAAGGCAAACTTTTTATACTAGACAAAGTCAAATGTTGCAACCGCATAATAGGGGACGGTTGCAACAATCCACAGGGACTGTTCTTTAACATATTTTTCACATTTATTTATTTTACTTGTGCACATGTGGGTCTTCACTAAGTTAAATTGGCTGTTTAAAGACAAAGACTGTAAAAGAAATAAAACATTTCAAGTGTACGTTACAACCAGGTTTTGGTAAATTATTACAATAGATTTAAAATATATTTTTTTATTTTTTAAATATATTTTTTAAATCAAAATCAACACTGAAATTTACTAATACCCCTATCTGTTGAGCATTTCCTCTCTTGTGGCACACTGGAAACAGAACAGATCAAATGTATGCCTCTGATTTTTTGTTTTTTTTGTTTACTTAAGTAAAAAAGGGGAGATACCTGACTTTATATAACACATAAAATTATAATATTGTTATTGTCACCATTATTTTCTGTTAGTGTCATTATTATGGACTTTTAGTTTGTTTTCATGCTCATCATGTGTTCCTTTGTTCAGGTTTCCTGTTCCTCAATGGTTTCAGCTGTGTTCTGTTAATCTGATTTTTTTCATTTGGGCTGACACTAGTTATCTTTGGGGTCTCCAGGGACCCCAGACAATAACATTTAATTTTGTAACAGAATAATATATTATTTTTTTTACAAATGTGATTTTACTCTGTTTATACTCTGTTTTTACTCAACATTTGTGCAGTTTTTGGAGGATTTATGATATCTTTTGTAATTTCTATAAATAAATAATTATTTAAATAGGCTTTTTACCAAGAAACAGCATTTTATGTAAAATTCACTTTATAAAAGACCCAGATTTCTAACTTTCGTTCATGGGGATAATATGGATAATTGTACACGGTTTAATTGCATTTTTTGGAAAATGCAGTTTTAAAATAACATAAAAAATCACTTTAACCACTAGAAAGCTATGGAGCTCCACTATATGCTATTTGCTATTTTACTAACCGAAAGATATCTTTTCAAAAGTTGGATTCAGTGGGATTCATATCTAAATATTATAAAATCACAATTATAACAAAAAAAATATATACTTTTGTCAAAGTTTAGCATTTTTTTCTGAAAAAAAGTTTTTCAATAATGTTACATTATGATTAGAATCAAACATAAACATGATGTTACAAAGAGAAATGTTGGAGTCTTTAGATTTTATCATTTATTTCAATCATCTGTTTTTAATATAATTCTACAATTTTAATCAACATTTCAGTTACTAACTGTAACAGAACAAAATGAACAGAAATGAACAGTTATATTACATATTGAGTAAAAATACATGACATGAACATCAAAATGCAATGAACTGAACAGCAATAACAAATGAGCAAATAAAGCAGTAAAAAAATAAAATTGAAATAAAAAATGTTCTCTCTCGCACTCTCTCTCCCTCCCTCTGTGTATGTGTGTGTATGTGCACATGTGTCAGTGTAACCAATTTATATTTGTGGTGGTTCTGCATTTCGGATGATTTTTTTTTTGGACAAATTATAAGAGAGCATGTTGTTTTATATAGCCTCACAAATGTATTCCTGTGTGTGTGTGTGTGTGTGTGTGTGTGTGTGTGTGTGTGTGTGTGTGTGTGTGTGTGTGTGTGTGTGTGTGTGTGTGTGTGTGTGTGTGTGTGTGTGTGTGTGTGTGTGTGTGTGTGTGTGTGAGTGTGTGAGTGCACATTGCCGATGTGTCAGTGTCACCAATTTATATTTGTGGTGGTTCTGCATTTTATTTGACAAATTATAAGACTTTTTATAGCCTTACAAATGTATTCCTGTGTGTGTGTTTGTGTGTTTGTGTTTGTGTGTGTGAGTGTGCACATTTTCAATGTGTTGGTGTCACCAATTTATTTTTGTGGTGGTTCTGCATTTTGGATGATTTTATTTTACAATCATTTGACATGAACTGTAGACAAAGACTGTAAAAGAAATAAAACATTTCAAGTGCACGTTACAACCAGGTTTTGGTAACGTAGAGAACAGTTGTTATAGTCTCAAAAATGTATTCCTCTATATGTGTGTGTGTGTGTGTGCGTGCATGTGGTGAGCATGATGATTTTGCATTGTGGATGTTTTTTGCATTGTTGGAAGTGTGCCACTTTATTTCTGTCTATGTGTTCTGCGTTGTTTCTGATTTTGATGATGAATTTTGTATATTTACTATGCGGGGTCTCCAGGGACCCCGAAGACAACGAGTGTCACTATTTATTTTCACGGTAACATAAAAACAGATATCATTCCAATTTAATTTTTTTATGTGGATTTAGAAAGTGTTGAGAGCCGTAGAAGGTTTCATACCATTTGGACAAAGATAACTTTTTTTTATTTTATTTGAGCAAAAGTCATTTGCGGGTTAAAAAGTCCTCGAAGATAACCAAAGGGATTATCCTCGTTTGTGTTTGCTTTATAAGTTGATCCCTCACATTCATTCTCTGTTTGGTCTACATTGCAGGAACCAATCAGGCTGCTTCGCTCCCTGGTGTGTCATTGCCCGCCAGAATAGGCGTGGCCTAAGCCTTTATAATGGCCCATTCAGCCAAAGGTAGTCAGGTTAAGTCGACTGAAGCGATCCCCTGATCAAAGGAAACGTCTCGGTTAACGGATGTAACCCTTGTTCCCTGAGTAGGGAACAGAGACGTTACATCGGATGACAACAAATGGGGTTCGCTTAGAAGCCTCTCATCTTCGAAAGAAATAAAACGAGCCAATGGCAAGGAAATGCCATGAGTCTGCGGAATTTGCATGGCGTAACTCCGCCTCACCGTGTGGGTATAAAAGGAGAACGCCGGCAATATTTCTTTGGTTTCTTTGCTGAGGAGCCAAGACTGAACTCGGCTGTTCCAGCGGGAACAGCGGAAGTGGCAGGAAGACGTAACGTCTCCGTTCCCTACTCAGGGAACGAGGGTTACATCTGTAACCGAGACGTTCCCTTTCGTTGTCACTCCGAGTTACGTCGGATGACGACGAATGGGGTTACCAGTCTAATCACCCCACCTTCACAGCTGTCTTCCAGTGCCCTGCGTAAATCTGAGATCCCTGTCGTAAGACTAGCACGGACGAAGTACTCCTATTTAGCACAGAAATACTAAGGTACACAGGGCAGCAAATCTCATATGTCAGATAAATATGCAATTAATGGGGGGGGTGGACTTAGAAAAAAAACATATGTCCCAGAGGGAGCATATGGAGAACAATGGGGTGTCCAGCCGCAGGTGGAATATTTCAACCCCAGGGGTGGCAAGGTGGCTTGGTAAGGGAAAGACACATGCTCAGAGAGGCTTACAGTGGAATACACATGTGGGGGTCGCCCAGAGGGGGGACCATGCACACGGATGGACCTAGCCAACGCGCAGGCAATAGACACTGGCGTCGACGTCAGCAGTGCTGGAGGAACTCAGGGCTTGAGGAAGCTCATCTGAGGAAAATATCACACGTATCCAGTCCGTGGAATGGAATGGCGAGCAAGCGAAGACACCTGAGCTGGTCCGGTACTAGCTGGTTGAAGCGAGTACATGAGAGGACACTGGCTCCACTCGGAGATTGTAGAATCTGGCGAATGTGTTGAGTATCGCCCAGCCTGCAGCTCTGCAGGTGTCTGTTAGCGAGGCGCCATGCACTAGAGCCCAAGAGGACGCCACACTCCGGGTGGAGTGGGCAGTCACACCAAGGGGGCACCTTGCTGCTGGTATGCCAAAGCAATGGCGTCCACTATCCAGTGAGACAGCCTTTGCTTGGAGAGAGCCTTTCCCTTCAGCTTCCCACCATAACAGTGGCGGTATTGTCTGATCGGACTGGTACGTGTTGACCCCTGAGCAACGTCCGGAAACGGTGCAGAGCAAGACGTACTGCCAGAAACTCGAGGCAATTGACGTGCCATGGGCGCTGGGGTCCTGTCCAGGAGCCCGCGGCAGCATGTCCATTGCACGTGGCGCCCCAACCCGTGGTGGAGGCATCTGTTGAGACAAGCTCATTCAAGGGGCACTCCAGCCTGTAGAAAACTGAGGTTCGACCACGGGGAGAAGGTCTGACGGCAGGTCTGAGTAACTGGTACTCGGAGGGTGCCGTGTTGCCATGCCCACCTCGGGACTCGGTCGCGAAGCCAGAGCTGAAGCGGTCTCATATGAAGCAATCCGAGTGCATGTCATTGAGCACCCAGAAGGATGGCAATAACATGCAGTGAGGCGGCAGCCTGCCCCGCAGATCTATAGGTCTTTGCCACCGGAGTGGACAGAAAACCTACAGGCTTTGGAGGGGTGCTTAGGGTCGCCACGCCATGTGGAGGCGCTGTGGGGACACAGATGTGTTGCCACAGAACACTCCACGATGGCGCGGCCTCTGCGAGGGCAGAGAAGGCGGAAGAGGCCGCTGAGCAGTCGCGAAAAGTCAAAGGAGACTCCCACAATCTCATGACCTCTTCATGCACGTCCGGGTAGAAAGGATTTGGGTTTGGCCAGTGCCAGATATATAACGAGCCCTATGGCCTAGGGGGTTAGTGCTTAAACTTACACTGAAAGAACCATCGCTTGTAAAGCGGGAACTTCCAGGTTATAAAATCTGATAAATGGGGACGGTGAGGCCCAGCCGGCCGCCACACAAATATCTTCAATAGATATTCCACTTGACCAAGCCCATGACGAGGCCATGCGTCTCGTGGAATGAGCTCTGATGCCTAAGGGGCAATTAAGGCCCTTAGACTCATAAGCTAGCATGGTAGCGTCTACTATCCAGCGCGATAATCTCTGCTTTGTCACACCGAGCCCTTTGGTCCGGCCGCCAAAGTATACAAAGGGCTGTTCCGACTGTCTGAATGAGGCAGAACGCTCCAAATAAACTCTGATAGCCCTGACGGGACAGAGTAAATTCGCGTCTCTTTCGTCTTCTGGCGAGGAAAGAGCTGCTAGTGAAATAACCTGCGCTATGAACGGAGTTGAGAGCACTTTAGGAACATAACCATGTCTTGGCTTAAGGATGACCCTGGAGTCGTTAGGCCCAAAATCAAGGCAGGAAGCACTTATTGATAGCGCCTGCAAATCGCCCACTCTCTTTACTGAGGAGAGCGGTTTTAAGCAAGAGGTGCTTTAGGTCTGCAGACCGAAGTGGCTCGAATGGAGCACCTTTTAGTGCTTCCAGGACCGTGGAGAGGTCCCAGACAGGCACAGAAGGGGGTCGTGGAGGGTTAAGCCTCCTTACCCCTTTAAGGATGCGTACGACGAGGCCGTTTCCTCCTAGTGATTGACCGGACACAAGAGCATTAGAAGCTGTTATGGCCGCCACATACACTTTGAGCGTGGAGGAGGTTCGACCCGTGTCCAAAAGCTCTTGCAGGAAGGCGATTACACTCGATACTTAGCACAAATAGGGGTCCAGGCTCCGTGCAGCGCACCAGCCAGAGACTACCACCCATTTCTGAGCGTAGAGGCGTCTAGTCGACGGCGCTCTTGCCTCAGTTATCGTTTTCAACACCCCTTCCGGGAGACACCTGGGTACCCGTTGAGGGGCCATACATGAAGGCCCCACAAGTCGGGGCGTGGATGCCAGATTTTCCCATTTGCCTGCGTGAGGAGATGGGGCTGTTTCCAGCAGCTGTGTTAGCTCGGAGAACCATAACTGGGTCTTCCAGAGAGGTGCTATTAGTAGCACTGCACACTTGCTCTCCCTGATCCGTTCGATGACCTGTGGTAACATCGTGACCGGAGGGAATGCATAAAGCGGGCGGCTCGGCCAATTGTGGGCAAGCGCGTCCCTGCTCTTTGAGAAAAATGTTTGGCAATGAGCGTTGTCTTCTGTGGCAAAGAGGTCGACCTCTACCTTGCCGAAGATGCTCCATATTAGCTGAACCGTCTCTGGGTGGAGAGACCATTCCCCTGGGGGAACATTGTCCCTGGATAACATATCCGCACCCTGGTTCAGAATGCCTGGCACATGACCCGCTCCACAGGTTGTGCTGAGCCCATAACATGAGGTTCTTGGCCATGGTGTGCAGGTTGCTTGACCTGAGACTGCCATGGCGATTTATGTAGGACACCACTGCCATGTTGTCCGTACGGACCAGGACGTGGTATCCCTTTAAGTATGGGAGAAAAGCTTCCAGTGATAGAGCTACCGCTCTCATCTCTAGACAGTTTATATGTAGCAACTCTCCATGCTTGACCATAGGCCAGAGATGGGCCTGCCCTCGTAAAGGGCCCCCCAACCTAAGTTGGAGGCATCTGTCAAGATCACTTTTCTCTTTGCAACCACACCCATACTCATTCCCGACTGATACCAGTCGGCTGCTTTCCAGGGAGCCAGGGCTCTGATGCAGCCGTGGTTCAATTTTTATACATTGCTTTTTTTAGCCAGCACTGGAGAGGACGCATGTGCAGTAGTCCGAGCTGGAGTACTGATGAGGCTGAGGCCATAAGACCCAGCATCCTCTGAAATCTCAAGAGAGATGCGTACACGCCCGCTCTGAAGGATGCCGCTAGATGCTGAATAGTGAGAGCGCGATCTGAGGCACGCTATCATTTGTATGGAGTCTATCACTGTTCCCAGGAAAGAAATATTCTGGCTGGGAGACAATGTGCTCTTGGAAGCATTGATCCTGAGCCCTAGGCATTCTATATGGCTGAGGAGCCAGGATCTGTGAGTTATCAACTGTTCCTCTGATTGGGCTATAACCAGCCAATCATCAAGGTAGTTTAACACTCGCACGCCCCGCTGTCTCAGGGGGGTAAGTGCTGCGTCCATGCACTTCATAAAAGTATGAGGTACTAGTGATAGGCCGAACAGAAGTACTGGTAAGCCTGCCCCTCGAAGGCGAATCTGAGAAAGGGCCTGTGATGGGGCGATATCTGGATGTGAAAATAAGCATCCTTCAGATCCACTAAAAAAAAAAAACAATCCCCTGGGCGAATCTGCGCAAGGATTTGTTTGGTTGTCAGCATCCTGAACGGCCGCGTCATAAGCGCTTTGTTCAGGTGTCTGAGGTCTAGGATGGGTCTGAGGCCGCCATCCTTCTTTGAAATGAGGAAGTAACGACTGTAAATTGTGCGTACTTTATAGTGGGCACGTGACCTACATATGACACAGACCGAAAAGTGCTATTTTCGTGCTTTATTTGTGTCGCCGTAAAAACGGCGTTTGTTTGCAGATGAGCGTGTTTCACTACAGGCCCTTTTCACTACAGGCTTTGGGAGGAAATGGCGCATCACCTGCGACGCTTTCTGAGCCTCTGTGTAGCGTTCCGCGTCCCTTGCCTGCTGGGCCGAACAGACCGGTGGTGGAGATAGGGGAGTCTAGAAAACGCCGCCTTGTCTGCATCCTTCATGTCAGTCAAGTTTAGCCACAGGTGCCGCTCAAGCACTGTCAGGTTCGCCATGCTCCGTCCGATCGCCTGGGCTGTAGACTTTGTGGCTCGCAGGGCCAGGTCTGTGGCGCTGCGCAAATCCTTGAAAGCATCTGGTTCAGGTCCAGACTCGTCCATTGCACGGAGAAGTTTGGCCTGAAAGACTTGGAGTACAGCCATGGTGTGAAGCACTGAAGCAGCTTGGCCAGCGGCGGCGTATGCACTGCCGGAGAGAGCTGAAGTGGTGCGGCAAGGCTTCGATAGATGTGATGCTTTAGCTCTCCATCCTGTAGCGGTTGGTGTGCAGAGGTGTGCTTCCTCGAGGGGAGCAATCGTCTCGTATCCCTTTTCCAGAGTGCCGTCTATTGTAGAGAGCGTCGAGGAAAATTAAGTCTTCAAGCGAGCTGAGTAAGGTGCTTTCCATGCCTTAGTCAGCTCATCGTGAACTTCCGGGAAGAAGGGGGCGGGTCTCTGCAGAGGGGCCCCTACAGGAACCACTCTTCTAGCCAGCTGCACGTGGGCTCCTCGGGCGAAGACCACTCGAGCCCGAGGTCTTCATCGACCTTGGTGAGCACGAGGAGAAGTTCAGCGTCAATGCTCGTCCTCGCGCTGGCTTGTGTGGACGGTGCGGGGCCGGAAGCAGAGCCTGCCCACTCGTCACAGTCGGATGCAGTGATAGAAAGGCTGTCATCCTTCTCATCCTCCTCGTCCAATGCTCCAAACGAGACGCTCGCATGGAGGGGCGTTGGTTCGCCTGCGTGAACATGACCGGCGAGGGAGTTTCTCCAGGAGATGGCGAAGCATGTGGGTACTGGCTCGGCATGAGTTCGCACGCCTTATTCCGCTCTGGCATCCTTTGTGAACTGCGCTTTTTATTGCGCGGCTCGATCAAAGGGAAAGAGAGAGCGGGAGTCGCGGGGTCGTCGTCAGCTATGGGAGTTTTCCCATAGCATAAGCCAGCCTAATGCAATACAAGAGACCTCTCGAAAGGGAACATTGATTATGATGATATGACTTCATAATGCTTCACGCAAACACTGTACGACAAAAAATCTGATCATAAAATAAATAAACGTGAAATAAAAAATTTTTTGCAGAAGGAATGCTCAACAAACAGATGTGGCTGCCAGGAAGGAAGAGGGGCTAACAGAGCATGTGTAACATGAATATCATCTCTCTCATTTCCGACTGGTGAAATATATCATGTTGCAACTGCCCCATATGTTGCAACCACCGTCCCTATAGTATACATTAACTACATTTACAGTATTAAGCAAGCCATGCAGGTAATTAGAGGAAGATACACATGTGGGTAACCTGAGAGCTTTCAAATTTGTTTTTATAATGTACAATACTTTGTGAATCACAGTGAATCACTCATTGCCACATCCTTCCCACAAAGTTTGAACTACCAGTGAAATTCAGATTTGGATTTTAACCAAATCCTTCACTGGCATTTAAGTACTAAAATATTTTTAAGACCATTAAATAGTTCTTTTAGAAAATATGTAATTTGCTGTAATCAAAGTTACCGCAAAATCAGTAATATTGGAAAGATATTAAGATAAATGAACCATATAATATAAATATGCTAAAGGTGCTTCCTCAATGACAAATCATCAATTACACACGGTGCTTTCAGTATACAGCTGAATGCCAGATAGGTGTTTACATGTACTTTCCTGTTGATCAGTTCAGTCAGTTATTCTACAAACACTTGGGTTTGAATATGTTTAGCTGTGTAGCAGTTTTGTAATCATTAAACACTAGAATTCAACAGGAATATCCTCTTAGCCATGGGGGTGTTGTGATGCTGCATAAATTTGTTCAGCTGACAGCATCATCTACAGATCTGATGAAGAACTGCTTTATATATATGTTCAGGAATTAAATTATGAAGTTAAGTCTCCATGATGAGGCAATAAATTGTTAGATGTAGAAGTGCAGGAGTAGTAGATGATTTGATTAATGCATTAACCAATAGCTGAAAGTGCTGAAAAGCTCAAATCACCTCAGCTATAGGTTGTGAATATTTTCTTTGGTCTTCTGTGTTTTATAGGGAAGAGCGGGGCATGTTTACAATAGGGTAATTTATGAGAAACTTACCCTGCGGGGCTGAAGGGTGTGATAGTTGGGCGGTGGAGCAGACAGAGATTGTAAAAAAAAAAGTCTGATCGTAAAAGTTGGGGAGGCCTTTTACTTGCGAGCCCCTTTAAACTGTTGCTTAACTAAAAGCCATTTAGTGGGGAAATTTCTTTCAGTAGTTTACAATTTGTTGGTCAGTTCCAAAACTGATAGGCCTAAGTGTGTGAACAAGTTCAATTAAAGATTATACACATTTTCTCCAAGATTGTCAATATTATTGTTATTAGTATTGTAATTGCCTAAATCATCATTGAATTTTACATGCATGCCATGTTCTTTCCTTTTAGAAAAGAGGGCAGTGGCCATCCTTATTTCACTGAAGTTCAGCTTCCTACACAGGGCCTACAGCCATGGTAAGCAATGATTTTGAACCATGTTAAAATCACCTGCCTGCTTAGGCAAGTAAATCGTTTGCTAAATGAGATGCATGACGTTACAGCAGCAATGCACAATTTCTTTGTGTCGTTTGCAACATTTCTGAAAATTGTATTGATACATTTTCATCTTGTTTACGCCTGTAGCTAATAGACTATAACATATTTTCATTAGGCTATTATAATCCCAAATGCAAAGTGTTTGTTGTTGTTGTTGCTGTAATTTCATGGCTGTTTGGACCATAAAATAATCTTCTCTGAAGTAACAAAGTTAAGTTTATTGGAATCTAATTGATACTTTGTTGTAGACTTTGTAATAACATTGAAAAATACTGTTGTGATGCATAATAATTTGTAACATTTTGAAACCAAACCAGTCATTCATTTCAGTTCCTTCTTCATTTTTATTGTTACGATTAAACTTTAAACATTGTCCTATATCTGATTAATCTTCATGAATCCTTGTTCCGATGATCCTTCTTTATAAGTAGATAATTTATGGGGCCATATTAGGTTGGGCTTGCACGTATAACGCGCGTCAGTTGCTCAACAGATTGAGACACGCGGTGGCGCAGCAGTAAACTCATTCTTTTTCTTCTCAATGTGTTCTTAAAACTGAACTACTGTTACAAGGCGAGATCCATTTCAATTTTTGTATTGGGGATTTTAATCGCGAGTTTAGTCTGAGGCGAAAGGGTGGAGTTTCCTTTAAGGCTCTTAAGTTTTTATTGTCGTTCTAAAAGTTCCACTTGAACGATATTTTCTTATCAGTCTGCTAAAAGCCCCCCGACTCCGCGAGTGACTGCACGAGCTGACTTTGGCTTAAAGGCTTGCATGGGAAGATAAACGACATGGAAATATTTATTTGGAGTTTTTTCTTTAACACCGCTTTTTGAATTTTTTGTGATTTGGTATTGTAATCGTATTTTTTATTTAATTAATGTTGCGTTCCAAACTGCAATGAAAGGTGAGCAATTCATATTTTTGAATCTCTAAGTTTTATAAATAAACTTTGTGGCAAGCCCTATCTCATATCTTGCTTTGCAGCGTTTAACTTTTTCCTGAAGTGGACATTTATCCTGCTGCTGAGTCTCTCTTTATGTGTTGGTGAAGAAAGTGAAGAAAGCCCAACTTCATTAAACAATGGTAAATATCACAATTATTTGTGTTATGGTTTAAAAAAAACATATTTAACCAGTATTTATTTAGATTGGTCAGGTAAACTATAGTTTTGTGCTTTTAATAGATTTAGAAGTGACAATATTTTAATTTCTCAATATTTTCTCTCAAACTAATTTTTCTAAGGCATTAAGGCATAACCTATCATAACAAGCCTATTTAACATACTTTGAATTTTGAACCTTAAATTAGCCTCATCAAAGTGTCATTAGTTTAATCATATACAGCTAAATGCTCAAAAAGTCATTTTCTCAACAAAAATTAATAAATTATTATATGAATATAAAAAGCAAACCTTTTGTGTAATACTATCTGGGTATTAATAAGCCTGTTAAATCTCACAACAGTTTAGTTTATCACTGAGATTTACAGCATGACTCTTTTTCCATTCATCCTCATGGAGGAATGCAAGCAGCAATGAACAAGTCTGATCTTGATTGGTTAGTTGTGGATGCTATCTCTCTGTTACGCCAGTCTCTCTGTTTAGGTTTAGTCCACTAACATATAAAGTGTAGAGGCTTTGTGTTTTGTAAATCGTATACGTTTTCTCAGGTAGTGGTTGTGTTTCTCTGCTCACTGTTGCATGTGCATGAGCTAGATTAAGTTTGTTCAGTAATGGAGTGATGGAAAGTACTGGAGAGAGTAGATGATTTTGGTTATCTGCCACACAATTTGTGCACAGTAACCACATTTCATTCAAAATTTCCACTATTTTTAGGCGGTGTCTGTCATAGTGTTGTCAAGAGAAGTAGGGTCATGCCACTGGCAACCATGAGCGAAGATATGAAGTGTCTTGTATTTATGAATAAGCCTTATCAGGGGAAGCCCCTTGTCTCATTCCTATTGAGAATACATTAATAGTATCGTGAGAAATGTATACAACATTTAACCAAAAGCATAGTTTACCAACTCACTGTGACTGTACAATACTGATAATTTCACTTATTTCAAATGTTACATTTGACACCATGAAACAAATTAGTGCAGAATTTCATACCATTTCGGTCATGGTTACAAAATCATCTATTGCCATTATACCAACATGAATCCATCATATCTTCCAGTTAAAGTGTAAAAAAAATAAAATCCTGGAAACCCTGAGAGCTGCATACAAAAACACATGATGCATTTGCCCTGATGAGGCATGTTGTAATGGTTGCGTAAATCTTCAGATATAATCTCCGATCTAAACTATGCCTGGAATTCTGTAGTAAATAAGATTGGGGAGCGCCGGGGAGTCATAACACCAAATGAAGCCTTTTATAACTTTAACTTTGTATTATGGCTTGTGTTGGAAACTCAGAAGTGAAGACCAGGAGACTCGTTGTATCTTCAGCTGGATTCTTCATTGAGAACAGGAGCTGTTGGTAGCTGCAGTCATCAAGTCTAACTAAGGCAGTGTACATAGTAGTTTATATAGATTTTAGGAGTCAGTGCTTACTGCTTAGAAATGGAGACAAAGCACCTGGCTGACGACCTTAAACAAAGCATGCAAATGAATTATCCAGGTATAGGAACTCGCCCCAGACTCCCAGTGTTATCAGTCCTAATCCAATAAGCATAACTATTCAAAGAATGGAGAAGGGGCTCCAAGAGCTAATAAAGACAAAGGGTGAGAGTCTCAGTAATCTGACTCATTTGACTTACAATAAAGAGAAAAGGACTGGTTGGAACCTCTTGCTAAAATCTTTGCTTAACTGAATCATTCATCTGATGTCATCATCTTTACCTTAAATGCTAAATACAATGTACTTCCCTATAGTTTTTCATGCGATGTTCAGCAGATCTTAAACAGATTCTTAAATTTGTATTTCCACACTTGTTTTCTCCAGTGAATCCTTGTTGCTATTACCCTTGTCAAAACCGAGGGATTTGTGTTCGATATGACATGGACAGATATGAATGTGACTGCACCAGAACAGGATACTATGGAGAAAATTGCACTATACGTATGTATCTTACTCTTATCTCATTCTGACTGTAAATTTGTACTGTACTCTTTGACTAAATGATGGACTGAGCTACAGGCTATAATAATGTTTTACCATAACCTGAAATTTTAAGGCTACCATTTCTTTCATTTTGATATTAACCTAAGCTGTAAATTAAGCTGTGTGTACATAGTGGCAGCACATAAATTTGCTGAATTATTTAAACAGAACAATAAACTATCACAAATGTTTTGGAAGCAGAAACCTCTTTTGATACAGTCCAACATCTGTGCCAGCCTATTCCTGGCAGAGAGAAAGGCTCAGGACCAATTTTTACTCCCCCATAACCCCCAAGCCAGCCCTGCTGTCTGTCTTCTTTTCCATTTCTCTTTTTATGTTTCTACTTCCTGTCTCTCTCAACTATTTGGCTCATGTGATCTGGCTCAATAAAAGGTTTTGCACAAAGTTTCAGTGAAGTTATCATGTTTGTGTTGGTAGGATGACTGTGTTATATAAAATACAAAAAACAAAACAATGATGCATGTGTTTTGAAAGAGCTTTATTTTCTAGAATAATTAGATTGCTTCATTTAGTGTCAATTCAGTTTGAATACATGTTTTCAAAGTAATTCCGAGACACATGTCTAAAGATTTGGGCATATAGTTTACCATTGCAGGGTGTATTCATAATCCCAAACAGTTGCAGCTTCTCATTCTTTACTAGAGTCACACTCTCCACCTCTTTTCTTCCTCTCTCTTCTTCAGCTGAGTTCTGGTCTCGAGTCTCTCGGCTCCTGAAGCCCAGTCCTAATGTTGTCCACTATATCCTAACCCACTTTGACTGGCTATGGGACATCATCAACAGAACGTTCCTCAGGGATTGGCTCATGCAGAAAGTGCTCACAGGTTGGTTTTGTTACACATACTTAGCATGGCTTGTGTTCATAATTTTGCTCATGTGTATTTATGTAGGATCATTACAGGCATAAATAGTATAATTGGTTCAGTTTGTCTCTTGCGTAATTCACTAATGCCTTAAGTCACTGTTCCTTCAGACTTAGACATTTGTTAAAGCATTTGTTAAAAGGGACTTCTAGCTAGATATGGGCCTGGGAGTTCGACTAGTCATACCAACCAGCTAGCTATATAAGTTTATATAGAATTTAAAATTCTTTAATATTTTTTTTTTAAAGTTACCATGAAATCAAAATTGACTATTCTTATTTTTATATTGCAGTATTGGAATATTGCAGTATTTATTATAAATTATTTTTCAATCATATGCCCTCATAATCTTTAATCAGAATAACTTCTAACTCTTGCAACAACATCTCTTCTCTTCTCTGATGACATGTTTACCAGTGCAAGGCCGGAGCAACCTGTAACTTATGAGAGCATTTGCAAAACACTAAAGTCCAATGGTCCAATCAAGTCCCACCCTACATCTTTCTTGTTCAAAAAGCTGTTTCACTCTGATATACATCACAATAAGGAAGAAAACACTATTGCAACTTTTTATGCAACTTTAAAGGTGCATTCAATAGTTATTTAAGTTGCGTCAGCATTGCTGTTCTTTTTGTACTTTAAGTATTGATTCCACATTGGTGTTAGACGACTAGATGATGCTAGAACTGCCCGGTCCTGCAGATTTGCCTTATACAACATTAGGAGAATCAGGCCCTTCCTATCAGAACATGCTACACAGCTCCTTGTCCAAGCACTTGTTCTATCCAGACTGGACTATTGTAATGCTCTCCTAGCAGGTCTTCCAGCTTGCACTGTCAAACCCCTGCAACTGATCCAAAATGCTTCAGCTAGGTGGTGCTTGGGGTTGACCTCAGCACCTCAGATGGCTCAGCACCTCAGATGGCTCAGAACAACATCTCGATGTTGAACCGTCATCTTCTCTGACTGTGCCAGAATGAGCCAGTCGTCAAAGTAATTGAGAATACGAATGCCCTGAGTTCTCAGTGGAGCTAGAGCAGCATCCATGCATTTCGTGAAGGTGCGAGGTGACAATGCTAGGCCGAATGGAAGAACTCGGTATTGATACGCTTTTCCCCCAAAAGCGAACCTCAGAAACTTCCTGTGATGGGGAAGGATGGAGGAAATACACGTCTTTTAGATCTATCGTGACAAACCAGTCCTCGGACCTGATCTGACTCACGATAATAGGTATGGTTAGAATTTTGAATCTGAACCTCCTCAGAGACCGATTCAACACCCTGAGATCTATTATAAGACGTAACCCCCCATCCTTTTTGGGAACTATGAGGTTCTGGCTGTAAAACCCGGATTTCCTTTCTTAAAGAGGAACCTGCTCTATGGCTTCCTTTGCTAAGAGGGACTGAACTTCTTGTTCCATGACCCGACCATGCTCGGGGCTGACAAGCGTGTGAACCACCCTGCTGAATTTCGGTGGGCGATACTTGAACTGAATTCTGTACCCTTTTTCCACTGTGCGCAGGACCCACTGAGATATATTTTGAAGACCTTTCCAGGTGTCTAAATACATTGCTAGGGGGACCAGTCTCTCAGGAGCCAGTACTTCATAGAGTAAACATTAATGTTTTATCAGCACACAGACATTAAAGTCTTTGGCTGAGTATCTACAGTACTTCCAGACCAGACCAGACCACACATGTATAGTTTAGATATAAATTCTGCTTGAAGTCTTGGTCGGTGGATTAGATATTATCTGTTTTCTTTTGCTTTGGCAAAACTGTCTATAAACTAAATGGCTTGGATGTAGTTCAGTTGGTGGTGTATCTGAGCAGGACTACTGATAATTGTGATTAATGTGTGTGATTGTGCTCTGCAGTTGTTGTCAGAACAAATGGCAGGGTGTGATGAATTTAGCTTGGTTGTATTTCTTTTCTTGTAAAGGGAGTCTCCTTTAACTCAGCATCCTTCCCTTATTTACTCAGTCACTACTCTGTTTTGAATGGCCCCTATACTGCCGTACAGCCCCTTTTTTATCATTTCCTCCCAGTTGGCACTCTGTAATGTTTTCCTGTACAGACATTAAAGTCAGTTAAGCTTTATTTAATGTGAATGTGGTGGCAAGATACACCAGGGTCAGAGGAATCTATCATTTCATTCTGCACTCATTGCAATGAGTCCAGTCGGCTGTTGCCATGGCAATGCTAATGTACTCTGCAAGAGGCCCTCAAATTCCTCATGTCCTTCCAAAAAAAATCCTTGCTGGAGCCAAGTTACTGATTATCCCGAGGTACTGTTCCAGGGAAGTGAAATGGAGAGCATGTTAACTCAGAATAAGTCTACCTAGTGGTGTTGCTCAATTGTTTGTTGATGCCTCCTGTTTAAACGTGCTTCCATATTACCCCAATATTAGCAGTTACACTTTATTGAAAAAAAAAAACATTATTATCCTTTTTGGTCTAACTTTATATTAGGTGTACTTAGGTCCATTGTTGTACTGCAAAACAATTTTGCTGCAGTTGAGGTTTGGTGGTATGGTTAGGTTTAAGGGTGAGTTAAGGTGTAAGGGAAGGTCAACAGTGTAATTGTACAGCACATGCATTTACAGAAATTAACTGCAGCTATAATTACATGAAGGTATTTTAAAAATATAAGTACAACATACAGTAACATGTATGTACACAATAAGTGCAATGTATCAAATGATTAATTTAAATGTTAGTACAAAGTAGTCAAGGACACTTATCATACAGTGGGTCCTTATTTTTATCTAATAAATGACAAAATACAAAATCTATAGGGGGAGTCTGGGTATGGTGTTAACACTTTTTTTTCACCATCTGTAACTCAAAAAAGGGGAAAATATGATAGTAATAATAATAATAATTCATTACATTTATATAGCGCTTTTCTCGGCACTCAAAGCGCTTTACATAGAAGGGGGGAATCTCCTCAACCACCACCAATGTGCAGCATCCACCTGGATGATGCGACGGCAGCCATATTGCACCAGAACGCCCACCATACACCAGCTTATTGGTGGAGAGGAGACAGGGTGATGAAGCCAATTAGTATATGGGGATGATTAGGAGGCCATGATGGACAGAGGCCACTGGGCAAATTTGGCCAGGATGCCGGGGTTACATCCCTACTCTTTCGAAAGATTTTTTGTGACCACAGAGAGTCAGGACCTCGGTTTAACGTCTCATCCGAAGGACGGGAATATCATGATTGTGTTGTGATTGTCAAAAAATTTGGTAACTAAACAGAATTTCATTAAGTTAATGACAACATGTTACAATGTTTACATGGTCCAATAACTGATAGGCTACTGTTTTTATTAGCACTTGTCTCTAGTAATGGGTCTTTCATGAACCCATGTTCATTGCATCTGTCAGGTGACAAATGAACGAAAGACTCGGCTGGTAAAGTAATTATTTATGTTCCCTGTAAATTATTTTTGACTGCATAATAATGATTTCTTAATTAAGAATATGATCAAGATTGCTTAGGTGGATGTGTTTGGGGAATGTGGCTTTTAAATGTATAACATTTAAAGCCACTTAATGAACGAAATGACTCGAAAAAAGATTAGTTTATTTTGATGAACGAGATCGAACGAGAGTCAGTAAAATGATCCGAACTTGCCATCACTACTCGTCTCAGATTTTAATTCACAAGCTTATGAATCGATTCTGATCTTGATTCAATATCGATTAATTTGGATAAATATCAGGTACAGTAGCTACATGTTAATTTTTTCTCAAGGTAAAATCTCTTTACTAATGCTGTAAACATACAGGGAGCCCTGTCAGCTGGTATTATTATTAAAGGTTAAAATTAACAACTCAAATTAATATAATATAATAATAATGTTATATTTTTAATGATATGAGTAAAAATATAATATATAATATGTTAGATTTAATAAATATAACATATTTATATATGACACCACCCCACTTTGCTTCACAATCTTTCACTGCGTGAGAAAATGAATGTGTGGCGTGAGGACGTGAGAGCGTGAGAACAGTGTCAATTGTGTGACTCACGCGTGAGAGTTGGCAGCCCTGGGACTATCAGAGTAACACTGGTGACAAATGAATGTTGTTAACACTGTAGTGCAGACTTGGTAGGCCCAAAGACTGCATAGGCCACATTTTACCCACACTTCCTTTGGCTCTGACTTTGAGGTCTGAGTATCCTCACCACTGGCTTTCAACATTTTCCTTGCAGCTGATCTGGCTGACCTGCCATTATTTGAAACCTCATCAGTTCCTTTTTTAAAAACACTGGCAGGCATACCTCTATCTGTCTTTCTTTTCTTTCTTTCACTGACATTCTGTAAAATTATTTAAAATAAACTGTTCTTAGTTGTATGTAAGGGGATGGTTGTTACACTTTTTAAAGATGTGTTGGTATCAAAGAGCACACCCAAGTTCCTAACTGACGACGAAGACTTGACAGAACATCCATCAAGTGTTAGACTGTATTCTAGGTTATTACGTTTTTTTTTGTTTTTTTTTTGTCTAATAATTAGAATCTCCGTTTTTTCAGAATTAAGTAGTGGGAAATTACTAGTCATCCAATTTTTTTTATATCAGCTTTGCATTCCGTTAATTTTGTGAATTGGTAAGTTTCGTCGGGGCGGGAATAAGTATAAAGCTGAGTATCATAAGCGTAATAGTGAAAGCTAATGTCATGCTTCCTAATGATTTCTCCCAAGGGTAGCATATACGGGGTGAAAAGCAATGGTCCTAGTCCTTAGCCTTGAGGTACTCCATACTGAAATTGTGATCTATATGACATCTCTTACTGATTCATTTCAGTAAGTTGTAATGTATCTTTCAACATACCTTCTGATGTTCATTAATGTTTATTTAATATTAACAAGTAGTAAGAGAGGATCGGTTCACAAAGCGCTTGAACTGAGGCGCTACAGCGATCTGTCAAACAGCACAATAAAGAGCGCCAAAACTGTATTTATTGAATTTCCTGATAAAATTGACAGAATTTGAAAGCTGATACTTAGTTTCATGTCAAAGTAACCTGCTCTATCTTGTCCGTCTGTGTCAGTGTCCACTTTGCTTCGTGATTTTTCACTGCGTGAGAAAATAGATGTGTGGCGTGAGAGCGTGAGAACAGTGTCAATTGCCTGAGTCTCATGCTGAACACTGGTGACAAATTAATGTGATTAACCCTGGAGATCAAACTTGGTAGGCTCAAAGACTGCATAGGCCACATTTTATCCATACTTCGTTTGGCTTGGAGTTTGAGGTCTGAGAATCCTCACCACTGATCTGGCTGACCTGCCATTCTTTGAAATCTCATTAGTTCCTTTTTTAAAAACACTGACAGGCACACGTCTATCTATCTATCTATCTATCTATCTATCTATCTATCTATCTATCTATCTATCTATCTATCTATCTATCTATCTATCTATCTATCTATCTATCTATCTATCTATCTATCTGTCTGTCTGTCTGTCTGTCAAATTATTTAAAAGAAAATGTTCTTAGTTGGTTCTAACACTTTTTAAAGATGTGTTAAATCCCACCCAACCCCTGTCAACCATTGTTTAGCTAGCGTATTAGCATAATGGTTTGAAATTAGCAGGTTAAAAATGCTTCACGTTTGCGGGGGAAACTACAATTTCAATTATTTTATCTTCAAAAGTTTAAATATGAAATCAATATATACTGTATACTGGTATATACTGGTCAAAAAAATACATTCTTAGCTTATCTGTTTTTTTTTATTTATAAAATCTGCATGTGCCTATTTCTAGCCTTGACAACTGTTCATATGGGATCTGAGAAGAAGTGGGTAAACTGAGATGATCTTAGGACTCCCAGCTTATCCCTGATTGGTGGTGTTCCAATTGGTGAATAAATTAAAAGTATGAAATATAAAAAGAAAGGAGGAATAGGAAATGAAAGAAACCATTTTTTCAAAAAATAAAAATCAGTTAATTTCCAATCCCGCAATTCTTTCCAAACCCATAAGATGTTTTAATGTGGGATGAGACGATGGTAATTTGTAAACATACCTGTAAAAGTAAGGGAGATCAGGTCTGGTTGTAACATGGGGGAGATATAACACCACTAATTCCACCAATCAGAGATTAAATTGTAGTTTATCAGGCAAAATGTGATGAATTTTAACCTGCTAATGCACCATTATGCTAATATGGCTAGCTAAACAATGGCTGACAGGAAATGGAGTGGGATTTAACACATCTTTAAAAAGTGTTACAACCATCCCCTTACATACGGTCACAAACTGTCAGTTTAGTTTTAATTTTAATGGACTTTTAGTTGTTGTTTTTTCACTCACATGTTCTCCTTTGTCATAGTTTCCTGCCAATCATCAGTTTCCATGGACACTAATCTTCATCACAGCTGTTCGTCATTTAGTTCATCCCCATGTGTATTTAAGTTCCTCACCTTCACTCAGGGCCAGATGTACTTAGGCTTTTGCGCCCAATTCAGGCGTATTTGTTTCGCAAAGTGCGCATAAAACCATGTATGTACGAACGGGACGCACCGAGATGAAAGCGCAGACTGCCTGTCGCGGGAACTGAAAATGGCAAAATGCGCTTTTCGTGTCATGCATATTCATTCATGGGATGGTCAAGGGGAAAGTGGGAGTGTCACATAAAGAGATGAGAGGGGAAGCGTAAACTGCGTCTAATTATGAATTCCGCGTTATGTACAGAAAAAGCCGGTGAAAGCGCACCTCTATTTTGCGCTGAAAATTCTCCGCCTCTTAAAAGCAGGTGTAACTTAGGAAGCGGGTTTCCTGGCATATGCCTCCTGGTGAAATGGCAGCAGTAATCCGAGCAAGACGATAGGCTAAGGAGACGAGCTGAAAAAATTTTTGCCACAAGAATCACACTTTTTCAGTTGAGTGAAAACGAAATCATTAAGCGTTACAGATTAAGCAGCTACGCAATATTACAGTTACTGGAAGAAATAAAAGATGACATTGAATCTCCGACTCAGCGTTCACATTCCATTCCAGCAGTTGTTAAACTCCTCGCTACATTACAATTATTGGCATCAGGATCATTTCAAACAGTCATAGCATCAGCAGTGAGAGGAGGAAGCCCATTCAATTGCGCGTTTAAATACACGCAATTTACGGTATAGTGGGTGGGGACAGGCGCTGATTACCTGATGAACTGCAGGTTTGGTACATAACACGCACACTGCGATTTCACACATCAAGCGCTTTCTGCGTCTTGGCCATGGCGCTATTAACGCTGCGTTCGCAAATGTACATCTGGCCTTCAGTGTTTGTCCGGTCTTATGTTGACATCTGTTTTTGTGCTAGGCCTTCTGTGGATTACTATTTTGATTTTTATTAAACTATGTGTTTTGAATCTTCTTCTTCTGCTTCTTCTTCTTCTGCTTCTTCTTCTTCTTCTGCTTCTTCTTCTTCTTCTGCTTCTTTTGCACCTTGCTGACACATACATACAATGTACAGAATGCCAGTGAAAGAAAGAAAAGAAAGACAGATAGAGGTTTTCAAAAAAGGAACTGGTGAGGTTTCAAGGAATGGCAGGTCAGCCAGATCAGTGGTGAGGATTCTCAGACATCAAACTCAAAGCCAAGGGAAGTGTGGGTAAAATGTGGCGTATGCAGTCTTTGGGTCTACCAAGTCTGCACTCCAGGGTTAACAACATTCATTTGTCACTAATGTTACTCTGATTGAGTATTCACACGTAGATACACAAGCTCACACACACATTGACAGTGTTTTTTTGTTAGACCTATATGTTCTTTGCACAGGTAAGGTCCTTGCACACTGAGTCCGAAATTTTCGTATGCGTTTTTTTGTATCCATGATTCGGTGGCTCTGAATTGTCAAAACACCATTCAAAATGTTTGCTACGGATGCGAAAAACGCAGACAATCGAACCCGATCAGAATTTTTTTATGAAGTTTCGGAGGCATTGTGTAAGCGTGATTGACAAAACATGAGGTCGTATTTATTTTTTAACGTGCAAAAATTTCGGACGTGAATTTCGGACTGGGTGTGCAAGGACCTGTACACTGGAGTTGAGTCAAGTGTTTTATTAAGCATAAATATAGTTAAGGAACTTTGTTCTAGTAAACTAATTTGCACACACTTGCACAAACAGAAACTGGATTTGAGTTATGATCAGTCACAGCGAGAGAGAAATTGTTTTGAATTGTTCTATTGGATTGTTTAAATAAACCTTTTTTTGAAGCATATTGCATAGTGCGGCCTCTTTTTGCTTCTTTAGTTAAATTGTTTCAACTTACCCAAGCATGTGCTACAACCTACCTCAGTAGTGGCCTCCATTTCTTTCTTGACACCAACCAGTAGCGAACAGTGACTCTCGAACCTTGGCCCTCTCACCCCCTTCCCTCGTCGTAAGTAGAAAGTAAACTCAGCCTAAAATCATTCTACCTTACTGTTCTCTTCTATAATACTGCATGTTACCTTTGACAAGAAATGCCACAATCAAACATCAGAGTGAGTGTGAGAGTTATCACCAAAATGAAACAAAAAGTCAATGAAACAACATCACAATCAATGTCTTTTTAGCAGAATATGGTGACAACTGGCCAGAAAACCAACAAAATTGAATGTAAGCCGGCTCATTATGACATCAGACCAAAGCACATTAGCGACATACACTTCTGCATCATAGACGGTGGCTCATAGTCCAAAATCGCATACTCTCTTGAGTAGGTACTTATACTGAACAAGTAAATACTTCACAACCACTAAAAAAGTACGTTCTATAAAGTATGAATGTGTGTACAGTAGTATGAATGTACTATTTTTGCCATGTTGTCATTATCATGTGACCATCCAACTTCAGTTACGTCGCTTCAACTCCATTCACAAATCCTCTCCCGTGGCCTCATGGGATAAAGTATCCTTCATTTGCACACTTCAGAACCTCGCCAGAAATAGGTCATCCAGGTACTTTTTGCCTACTCTTTTATGAGTACTGTGATTTCAGACATACCAGTTTTGCCACGCACTGTCTTTTCGCCTATATAGTAGGGAAGTATGCGATTTCAGATGCAGCCAGTGAACAGCGATCATGGCATTTTGGAATCCATCACCACAAACAAGCAATGTTGTTTCAAAGTGAGCTTGCTATTGCTAGCCTCTCCAAAATTGCCTTCCATTTTTGGTTGTTGGCTTTCAATAATAGGAAAATGTATAGTGGTCAACTGCAATGCCAAGCTTGTTGTATCATTTGTTTTATGTTTTTCTAGGTATCATTTTGTCTGGTTGTGTTTTTAAAAAAATCTCCCCTTTCACAGTAAGAGCCACCTTAATCCCAAGCCCCCCTACATACAATTCCAAATATGACTACTTGAACTGGGAGGCGTATTCCAACATCACCTACTACACAAGGATTCTGCCACCAGTCCCTCAGGACTGCCCCACATCAATGGGAACCAAAGGTAAGAGACTCTGGTCATGCAAGTCTACTCCAGATCAGTGAAGCCTCTTCCCTCTGAAGGACACATGATCTGAAAATGTATTTTTTCCTCATAAGAAGCAATATTAAAATGCTCTAAGGCAAGCATATCACTAAACTAAAGTCACCGGAAATACCTTTGCTGTAATACAATCATTCCATGTGTCTCTCAGGAAAAATGAAGCTTCCAGACCCCAAGCTTCTTGTAGAGAAGTTCATGTTAAGACGGAATTTCAGGCTGGACCCTCAGGGAACAAATTTAATGTTCGCCTTTTTCGCTCAGCACTTCACGCACCAGTTCTTCAAGACTCACAACCGTGTGGGACTTGGGTTCACAAAAGGTCTAGGTCATGGGGTGAGTCACAATTTTTAAAATGTAACATAATATCTCCTAATAAGCTTATCAATTAAAGTGTTTAAAGTGAACCTGATGTTTTTTCACAGTAGGATATGCAGGAACCACATCCATCCACACTCATATTACATATAATGTTGGAAGGACTGGGGGGAAGGGCTGGGTCGAAAAATGTTATCTCATTGTCAGCACACAAGCATACTTTAAGTTCATATTTTTATTTCAGCATAGGCTATATAAAGCCTTGTTACCTCTTGTTACCTCTTATGATTGATTGTTTAAATCAGTGTTGTATGCAATGAAAACTAAAAAGTAACTTAGTTTTGTACTGTATTTGCTATTCGCTGAGTGTCTGTATTTAAAAAAATACAATTTTAGATTGCATTTTGAAAACTAGGTGGATGCTGGACACATTTATGGAGATTCTCTTGATCGCCAGCTGGACCTCAGACTGCATAAAGATGGGAAATTGAAGTACCAGGTACTGTTCACATCAGGCATGTTGTGGAGTCATCAGTCATGCTAGGCTGAGCATGTCTTCAAGGAAATGTCAGTCTGTTTAATGCTTATTCGTGAAACAGCTCCTAATAGTCTCACTTTTACCATTCTTCTACCATAAAACAATTTACATTCAATCATATTTACATGTTTTACAAATTATATATACATTATAATTCTGCTTGTGTTTCATGAACGAGACCCTATGCATTTTAAGTTGCTTCATGTCACAGCTTTGTGCAAGTATTTCCTTCTGAATGTGCTTCATCTCATAGTGTGGGTGTGATTATAGTTTTAACATGTGGTTTTTGTTAAGCGTCAGTGATGTCATTTAAAATACTGCACACTGTTTAGTCTAGTAGCAGTAAATACCGTATCTAGTGTGCTTGGTTGGTTAATGTGAGCATATGGTTCACTAATTAAAAAAACTTTAAAAGAGATTTCAGGACGCTGGTACTGAAAAAGAAATAAGAGAGAACAAGAAGTATCGAAACATCTTCTCAATTCTGTATTTTACCATAGTTTTTCTGTTTGGCTAATGTAGGTTGTCAGTGGTGAGATATACCCCCCTACTGTGCTAGATGCACAGGTCAAAATGAGCTACCCACCGTCTGTACCTCCGGAGAAGCAGTTGGCCATTGGACAAGAGGTGTTTGGACTGCTGCCGGGTCTCAGTATGTACGCCACCTTGTGGCTGCGTGAGCACAACCGTGTGTGTGATATCCTGAAACAAGAACATCCGACCTGGGGGGATGAGCAGCTGTTTCAGACTGCCAGGCTAATCATTATAGGTAAAGATTTCCTCAGATCCATATAAAAATAGTTTGATGTCGAGAGAATACTTCAAAATATATACCACTCAAATGATGTACTTTGCAGTAATGGTTGTGTGCCATTTAGAATGCCTTTTAAATTCCAGTTCCATTCCTGAATTTGAATTAGGATGTAGAACTGTAATTACAATATTACAATGAAGTTTTGTTATATATATATATATATATATATATATATATAATTTATACATATGTGACCCTGGACAAGAAAACCAGTCACAAGTCACACGAGTATATTTGTGGCAATAAATCGATTTTTCTTTTATGCCAAAAATCTTTAGGATATTAAGTAAATATCATGTTCCAAGATATTTTGTAAATTTCCTACCGTAAATATATAAAACATCTACTTTTGTGAGTGAATGCAGCACAATCGCGAACATAAATGGACAACTTTAAAGACGAGTTTCGTTTTTCTTTTCCCGATTTTAAAATAGTTGTATTCTGGCCAAATATTGTCCTGTCCTAACAATACATCAATTGAAAGCTTATTTATTCAGCTTTTTTTATATGATGTATAAATCTCACTCAAAATTGTGACCCATGTGACTGGTTTTGTGGTCCAGGGTCACATATTATCATTTATACATATAATTTGTCATACAAGAGATTTTTTTTTTTTTACATGATATTTCAGTATATTTATATTTAACAAATTAACTTTATTGTCGAAGTAAACTCATTAATTGAAAGAGAGACAATTCATAAATTATGTGTCTATTTCAACTCTGGTGTCTTATCCTAGTGCTATTATATTATATTATATTATATTATATTATATTATATTATATTATATTATATTATATTATATTATATTATATTATATTATATTTATATTATATTATATTATATTATATTATATTTTATTATATTCAAATCTGTTATGTAATAAAAAAAACTCAAACACTGAATATCCTCTATGCTATTCCATCAAATGTAGGTTTTCAAGAGTGCTCAGTTTTCCTTTGTGGTACAGTATTTACATAATGTCAGTTTTTACTAATTTATTGTAAAATGTTGACTCCCTAAACTCAAGGCGAGACCATTCGTATTGTGATCGAGGACTATGTGCAGCATCTGAGCGGTTACCGGCTGAAGCTCCGGTTTGATCCCAAGATGCTGTTCACCTCACAGTTCCAGTACCAGAACCGCATTGCTGTGGAGTTCAGTCAGCTTTACCACTGGCACCCGCTCATGCCTGACAGCTTCCACATCGATGGAGATGACATTCAGTACCCTCAGTTTCTTTTCAACACCTCTATCCTCACCCACTACGGGGTGGAGAAGTTGGTTGAGGCCTTCTCAACCCAACCCGCAGGACAGGTAATGGCACCATGAGGGTCTTTTTTTTTTTTTGGGTTTTCATGAGCTGTATGCCAAAATCATCAGTATTAAAACAATAAAAGACCTGAAATATTTCAGTTGGTGTGCAATGAATCTAAAATATATGAAAGTTTAATTTTTATCATTACATTATGGAAAATAATTAACTTTATCACAATATGCTAATTTTTTGAGAAGGACCTGTATATGTGTAGGTATAATCTTATGGGTATGTTTCTGAAAAACTCAAATGACGGTGTGATTTATGTTAGATAAACATTAATCCTTTACATCGGAGCATAATCAGCCCTGTGTGTAGGATCACACATAATATGTCCCTGCAGAATATCAACAAAAGCTCTGCAGAACCTTGAACTAATGTTGATAAATGGTAAACACTGAATTCCACATTCCAAAATTCTTATGCTCACCAAGGCTGCGTTTATTTAATAAAAATACACTAAAAACATTTATATTGTGAAATATTATTACAATATAAAATAATTGTTTTCTATTTTTATAAATGTAAAAATGTAATTTATTCCTGTGATGTCAAAGCTGAATTTTCAGCATCATTATTCCAGTCCTAAGTGCCATATGATCCTTCAGAAATCATTCTAACATGCTGATTTGCTGCTAAAGAAACATTTATTATTATTATCACCATCAATTATTATCACCATTTTTGTGGAAACAATGATACCATTCACTAAGAGTAAAATTAATACTTTTATTCATCAAGGATGCATTGAATTGATCAAACGTGAAAGTGAAGACATTTATAATGTTACAAAAGAATTCTGTTTAATAAATGCTTTAATAAATTTAATAAATGCAAATAAATTACATTTTCAAATATTCGGTCACTTAAGTTTAGAGTCTAATTCTCACTTTTATTAAATAAATGCAGCCTTGGTGTGCAAAAAAAAAAAAAACAGGCACTGTAGATATGTATGTGTTTACTTATTTTTAATAGATGAAAATGTCATTTCACCAAGGAATGTAATGTTTCTCGAAGGGATTTAACGTACAACATTTTTTTAAATGATCGGTTTTATTTATGGTAAAGATGGCTTATTTTGTATTTTTTTTTATTATAAATCTCTTTGTGCTGGAACAGATTGGAGGTGGTCATAATATTCACCCAGCGGTGTGCAAAGTAGCTGAGGGGGTCATCATTGAATCGAGGGAGCTTCGACTTCAGCCCTTCAATGAGTATCGCAAGAGATTCAATCTGAAACCCTATACGTCATTCTCAGAATTTACAGGTATGATTACTTTTTTAAAGCTTCATTTACAATAAAAAGTACAAGGAAAGAATCATGGACAAATTATCATCATAAAGAGCTTCTGTGGTTTCTTGAATGCTCAGTGTATATATATTATTTTTAAGAGGTCCGCATGTATTTGACTCATCATTCATTCTTAAGGGGTAATGAGAGAAATGAAGACAGGCTGAAAATTCAGGGTTACGTTTTATATACTTAAAGTTTAAACAATGTTTGGCTGCTTATTACACAACACATGCGCTACCCATCTGCCCACATCTGCACACAATATTTATGCAGTGTGTATTGGCTGTTAATGGCTGAAATTATTGTTTTACAGGAGACGAAGAAATGGCTAAAGAACTAGAAGAACTCTACGGTGATATTGATGCGCTGGAGTTCTACCCAGCTCTTCTTCTAGAGAAGACACGACCTGGTGCGATATTTGGCGAAAGCATGGTCGAAATGGGAGCCCCATTTTCCCTAAAAGGCCTGATGGGAAATCCCATTTGCTCCCCTGACTACTGGAAGCCCAGTACATTTGGGGGGCAGACAGGCTTTGATATAGTAAACTCTGCTACTTTGAAGAGACTGGTTTGCCTCAATACAAAACGGTGTCCTTATGTATCTTTCCATACTCCTCCATCAGATTATAAACAACAGAGGACATCTCACGGTGAACTTTAGCACAGTGTACTTCTCGAATCTGTTTTAAGTCATAGACCACAATTTTGATATTTAATAAGCAGCTTAATGATATTCAAGTAATTGGATAAAATGAATTAACTTGTAAACCAGAAATGAACCAGTAATACGAGTTATTAGAGAGTTGTTATTTGTTACAAGGTGATTGAAGAATCATTTTTCATAATATTACAATACAATTGGGTAACACTTTACAACAAGGTTCATTAGTTAACATTAATGTATTAACTAACATGAACTAACCATGAGCAATACATTTGTTACTGTATTTGTTAATCTTTGTTAACGTTAGTTAATAAAAAATACAGCTGTTCATGTTAGTTCACAGTGCATTAACTAATGTTAACAAGATTTGTATAATGTATTAGTAAATGTTGAAATTAACAGTAACACATATTAATAAATGCTGTATGCGTGCAGTTCATTATTAGTGCTAACAAACTAATGAACCTTATTGTAAAGTGTTACCATACTGAATGCTTTTGCAATATGAAATAATGTTCAGAAAGAACACACATGAGTATTTTATGGACTTAATTGACTCTTTTTTTGTATTTGCCAGCATTTGTTCTTTTATTATTTAACTTCACAATTCATCCCAGCCCACTTAATGAGCATATTTGACTGAAAATCATGCTGTTAACGATAATCTCCAGTTTATTTTATGAAGTGTTTATGGGAAGTTTGTGTCTGAGTTAGAAACAATAACTAAAGGTGGAGCTTAACAAAAGATCCGTTAGAGGATTGACTCTGAGGTTGGTGATTATTGGCTCCATAGATTCAGTATTCTGGTAGGACTTTACAATTAGTTTACATTTGTTAATATTAGTTAACATGAACTAACACTGAAAAATACTTCTAAAGCATTTATTAATCTGAGGGGCCATTTTCAAACTTTTTATGCAATTTGGCCGTACATTTACATGATAACTGCGTTTTGGGGGAAACGGTTTTCAAAGTGCAAGTTTTTGAAAACGCTACTGTCATCGCCTCCATGTAAACTACAAAAACACACATGCGTGTTCACATCAATAATTACTGTAACAAATTTACTGATCATTGTCAGTTAATATTTGTTAATAGATTAACTAACTTTAACTAATGGAACCTTGTAAAGTGTTACCAGTATGGTTTACCCTTTACTTTATATACAGTGATCATGGGCATTTATTACCTTATTTGTTACCTACTTGATCTAACCATTAAAATGGCTTCTGTTGGTGTAACCTTATATTGTCAGGTTGATTCAGTCACATTAAAACATTTTTTTACTTGAATAAAATCAGAACATTAACAAATAACTTTGTGCAAATGACATTGAGGGGCCATTTTCAATTAAGTAATTCAAACTTTTTATTCAATTTGGCCATTCATTTACAAGACAACTGGGTTTGAGGGCCTGAAAATGCAAACTTTTAAAAAAGGTACGGTTTTGAGAATGATACCGTTATTTTCAGCGTGTAATCTGCACGTGCATGCATATTACGTCTTCAGTCTATTGGCTCTCAGGGCCCTATCATACACCCGACGCAATGCAGGGCCAAGTGTTTTTTGCTAGTTTCAGTCCGACGCAGTTATCATTTTCCCGTCCTGTAAATAGCCCGTTGTTCCCGTTGTTTAAATAGCAAATGCATTTGTGCGCCCATGGTCTGGTCTGAAAACGAGCTGTGTTCAGGCGCATTGTTGGCGTGTTGCTATTTTAAGGCAACTGAAATAGACTGTGCCATTGACCAACAAAAACCTGGTCTAAAGTCAAGGGCACAGTATTTTTTTGTTATTTAAAGAGCGTGTTAGTAATAGGCGCCTATAGGCTATCCGTTTCCTCTCTGGAGAAGCGTTCAGTCTTTCCGCTTGCAAATTCCGCCATGGCTTGATGCCAACTGGCTTTTAAAGGGAACGGGAGATGAGACTCTGATTGGTTTATTGCATGTAAAGCCCAAAACACACCCATGTATCATTAAGAGAATAGGGACAACCTTTTTAGACCATCCTTTCGCGTTGTTAAACTAGCAAAAGTGGATTCTGACATGCCCTAAGTGCACTTGCACCTTGTGCTTTAGACCATGCGCTTAGATCGTTAAAATAGTAAAATAGCTATAATAGACTAAAATAGCGTTTTTAGTCATTTGCGCGAATCTGTGTGAATTGGGATCATTTTGACAACTTTGTCGTCTGTACAAAGAAATAACGTGTCAGTTTTTAGTATATTGTTGACATGTAAACGACCCATAGGTTTACAGGCACTCATGTTGCCAAACATCCATCCATCCATTTTCCAAACCACTCGTCTTATGTAGGGTCGGTGGAGTCTATCCCAGGGAAACACCCTGGACAAATGGATGGCCAGTCCATCGCAGGCAAAATAAATATTTAGCTTTTCTTATTCATAGTTCTCAAAAAAAAAAAATGTATTTGCCTCATAGTTTGTTCTGTTAAGTAAATGTATGGTCTAATGCACTGTTCAACTTGAAAAAAAAAAGTCATTTGGCATTGAACTTTGAACTTGTGATTGGCCAGTTTTTTTTCAGTGTTTACTGTTGTATTAATTTCTCTTCCTTGAAAGAAATGAATGTAACCTTATATAATATCCCTGTCCTTCTAAGCAAAAGGTAAGCATTTGTAGCACCAATATTATGAGATATTTCTGCAATGTGATTTTGTTTGTCAAAAAGAACTTTATCTGTATGTCTGATCATTGTCAAAAGTGGTTTACTGAAATAAAACAGAAAATCTTCTATTTTACAAGTTTTTAAATTGTACATTTGAATGGTGAAATATTGCTTACCATTTCCACTAATCTTAATTAAAAACAAATTGAGGCCATTAATACAGAGAATAATATTTTTCTCTATTCATTACACCATTAACTGTTCTGAATAAAATTATATAGTTTAAATGGTATACAATAATACTTGTGTCTCAGCTTCCTATAATATCACTTTTGTGAGTTCAAGAAAGTCAACAAGAAACATAGTTGTATTATTTGATCAATTTTACTTCTATATAAAAGAAAGTTACAACAGTTGGTTACCCATGAAGTACAATATTCCCAAAATTTTGAGATTAATGTTTAAGAATACAGGTCACAGCAATAACTAATGTTAAGGGTAGTTTAACCTTTGGCAAGAGCAGAAATAACAGTCAAGTTGTTGCACAAATAAACCATTTTACAACTTTTAAGTTCCATGATCTCATTGCATTTACTCTCCCTTAAAGTGGAGACCTTTTCCAACAATATTTTACACAATACCGTGGTTAGGTTCGTAGAAGTAATTTCTAAAAATATGAACTGTTTGAAAAATTGCTGAATAGCATCTAATTTTCAGAAATACATTAACATATACATTTAATTACTCTTAAATACTTGCAGTATTATAAATTCCTTGGCATATGAAAAAAAGTGTCTGTGAACCTGATGAATGATAAATGTTAAATGCAATTATTCCTTGTGTCTGAATATGCACACTTCCCTTCTACAAAAATATACAACAAAAAGCTAAATGTGAAGTATATTTATCATACAGACCACAAAAGATTTCATAGTTGTTATTTGTAGGTCATCTGCAAATGTCAATATTTCATATATTAACATGTCTTAGTAAAAATGAATGATGGTAAATATTGTTGTAACTATATATTGTTATATATAAATGAAAATTATTAAATATTCTTTGTTAATTAATTTAACATAAAGTGAAAAAATCCTTGAATATTTAAACTAGATTTTTACATTTATTCTTACCTTATTATTAAACATTCCAAACATCTGTTTGGAAGAAATGGTGGTTCATCTGATTGAAAAAAAGGAAATAATAATAACGCTTTTTAAGCTAATTCACAAATATTGAGATGATCAATATAATTATAAAATTTTGCCAAAATAAATATTTTTAGTTATATCTTCCTGACCTAATGCCACTCTGTGATTTTGTAAGATACCCTACCATAGTGATTTTTAAAAATGGTTTAACATCTAACATATGTAAATTTACTGTAAAATATTATTATTAACTTTATGGGTTTTGGAAGTATGTATCGCCATTTAATTTACAGATAATTCTTCTTATTTTTTATTATCAGTTATATACCACTAGTAATGTTACCAACATACCATCTGGTGATACCGGAAACATTGTCACTGTTATGTTAAATTTCTTAATTTTTTTACTGTAAATTTAACAGTATTTTTTCAGTGCAGTACAGATGTACATCAGTATAAAAAGTAACATCAAATTTAAATGTAGTACATAGTACTGTGAAAGTACGGAAATTCAGACGCAGCCATTCTAACGCATGGGTCCATATGAGCTCAGACTCCCTAGGTGGCCTTTCGTTAAATCAACATTATAAGAAATGGCAATCATTAAAAAAAAAGAAGAGCTTTCTTTCGACTTTAATATTTGTTAAACACACTTGTTATTTACTGTGGCTAGCAGAGGGTGCAGATAGTTCATGGTCCAGCCTGGTGTTCACCTGCTGGCCCGGGGCTCCAAAAGCAGGGCATGGAGGAATGCCGGCTGCTGAGGGGGCCGAAGGGTAGAAGTGCACATCCACAGCCACAGAGGTCATGCCCAGAGACACGCAGTGGGACAGCATGAGGGGAGAGAAACCGTGGGAGATATTGATGCTGTGGCGCACAGGAGTTGAGGAGGGATCGGTGGTCTGGAGGGTCAGGGAAGACCGCAGACCCTCCTCCTGGGCAGGTGCTGGATTGGCTGGAGGAGGTGAGGGGGCGTCCTGACATGGTTCAAATTCTCTGCTCCTCCAGTCCTCCATACACTGCAGCTGAATGTCAGAATGTGGTGAGGGAGACACCTTCCCCTCCTCAAATATAGTCTCCAGCTAATTCATAATGGAAAAAAATACACAATATTGTTAAAAAGAAAACTAGTAAGTGTTGCTTCTTACTTTATATCTGTGATTTAATGCTCAGATTGACTGTACGTTCTTTATGTTTTGAAGAATAATAATGAACCCACCATTCAAGCAATTGCCGCTAATTCGAAAGGGAAAGTAAAATGCGTTTGGGCATTCATAAGCAATTTAAAATCGAGGTGGAAAAGAGAGAAAAACTCTAACATCACCCCCAACCCCAGTGTTGTCACACATCAATTTACAGGTGGAAAAATGTCCTCACTGCCACATCCCTACTTTTACTGACCTGGTCCTCCTCTCTAGGCTCCGGGTGAGTCTCCACAAAAACTGGCAGGTCCTGGGTGGAATGGACACCCTCTTGCACCTCATCTGATGGTGGCTCCATCATTATGGTGGATGGGCTGCTTTCTGTTGGGAGCGCTCTTGTCTCGGATATGTTGGGGCTTTGTTCGATAACAGCCACCAAATTATCATCCTCAAATGCTCTGAAATGTGTCGTCATTAAAAATGTTACAAAAACTACTATTCAATTAAAGGGATAGTTCACGCAAAAATGAAAATTCGGTCATTAATTAATTACTCACCCTCATGTCGTTCCAAACCCGTTAGACATTTTGTTCATCTTCGCAGCGCAAATTAAGATATTTTTTATCATGCAACAACATCTGCTCTTGTGACAACACAACATGCATGTGTTGTGGTTCTCTTGTGAACGCACATTGGAGATTAATGTTTTGAAAATAAAGTGGTAAATTCAGTTCAGTGCGCAAAGCACTCATGTCGCTTCATAAAATTGAAGTAAAAGCACTTAGATCACATGGGTTACTTTTATGATGTCTTTACTACCTTTCTGGGGGGTTGAAAGTGGTAGTTGCGTAGGCTGTCAATGAGGGACAGAAAGCTCTCAGATCTCATTAAAAAGATCTTCATTTGTGTTCTGAAGTTTGGAACTACATGAGGATGAGTAAATGATGACAGAATTTACATTTTTAGGTGAACTATCCCTTTAGTGCTACGTTGACAGGGACATTATACAATTAACAAATGCTCTCAACAAAACTAACTTGTTATCATATGTCCTTTCCATCGCAAGACGTTCCCCATGTCTGCAAGGCCCACCCATACACCTGAGAGCTATGAGGAAAAAATTATTATATTCAATTTTTTATGCATTTGAAAAACTCATTTATGAACTCATCACAGGTCTATGCTAGTATAGTGAGTATCAATGTTTATTTTTTATTATATTAAAGTCTCACCTGCTCTCCCTGTAGGTATAGCTGCAGGATCATTTGTCTGAACCAGAGAATAAAAGGCCATGGCAATAAAAATGAATGCCAAGGAAACACCTACTCCAACCACAATGGGAATGTCATGTTTCTCAATCACAGGCAACCAAGTCTGAGATTTCTCCTTTTCTCTGAAGAAAAGAGGGTCATGTGTTATTTAAAAATCACAAATCAAAGAAAGCATGAAACAAAAGCATGCTTCGGCAAAAAAGGAACTAAAATACCATCTAAATCTCTCATGCCACACTTTCTCTTGATAAAGTTGAACTACTGCTGAACTATAGTTTCAAGCAGTCACAAACATATCCATGCTCATCACTGATTTAAAACCAAGAAAATGGTAAACATATAATTTTTTTCAGAAATTTCTGTCGTCCATCCTGTGTAAAACACCATACAAATTAATTAAAGTTACAACTCTTTAAGGACCTACATAGAAGTATGTCTAAAACTAAATGTATTTTCATTCTGTCATGTTCAATAATAGTTTGTTAAGGTTGAAGGAAATAATCAGTTTTGTTTCAAAGTTTATTAAGTAAATGATTATTAATGTGTATATATCATAATCTTACACTATAAAATCTGACCAAAATAACTAATTTAATTATGAAATATTGTGGGGGGTGGGGTGGATTAGCTGATTAATGAGGAAGCTAATTTGATAACCAACCTGTTATTATTGTCAGTGGTCCTCATAGGGGCCTGTGAGGTGTTTTTCTTGAGTGATTCAACTAGTTCTGTTTCATTTGTCATTGATGACTTCGTACCTCCAGACTGCTTAATGCTTTGACTCTTATTTTGATGCTGTTCCACAGGGGCTGAGGCAGTGAAGTTGTCCACATCCATTAAAGGTAAGCCTGGAGTCTGGGAAAAGCTCTGAATGTTTTTAATCTGAGAATATGAGTCTGCAGGCGAGGGGCTGTTTGTGATTGGATTCATTAATGGAGGTTTAGTGACCTGGTCCGTTGGTTGGATATGTGGATGTGTATCCTGCATAAAAGTCTCTTTGAGTCGGGGAGATGGTGTAGGTTTGACGGGCACAGCAGTTGTATTTTGTGTTTGTATAGGTTCTTTAATGTTCTCATTACTTCCTATGCTAATGCCAGTTGGCTTCAGTGAAATCAATTCTGTAGTGTCTTGGGTAGATTCAAGATTCAAGTGTGTTGGTGAGTCCTCCACAAAAGCATTTAACACTGCACCAAACACAAAGAAAATAAGAATGAGGAAAAAAACAACCCAACACACCAAACAAACAGAAAAAACTCCTCTATGCCAGGGATTCTCAACTCTGGCCCTTGAGATCCCCTTTCCTGCCGAGTCTAGCTCCAACCCTGATCAAACTCACCAGTCTCAAGCCAGATATGGTCTTATTATTGGGAGAAACTAGGGTATGTGGCTCTACCATTGGAAAAAGTGTAACCGCTAACTTGAATCACATGTGCCTAGATAAACAATCACATTACAGCCTTGACGTCATTGAATTTTGTTCAGAGTTGTGCGACAGGCAATCACTGTATGTTGATACCATAGAAATGAATGAGAAGTGCCGTAAACTGAATCTTACTTGTCACACAATTGTCTGTGATTTCTCTTTTAAAACAGCATTTTTTTTTCGGTGTAAATCAATCCAAAAAATAATGTTTAAGAGCAAACTTTAGCTGCAAGATTAGCTGATGGGCTGTCGATTCATTAAATAAGCCGTTTTCCCACAAAAGCAGTTTATTCAGCGTAGTGAAGCCTCTCTTCCATTGAAATCCATGAAAAAAAAGCCTCATAGTCGCCTTCCCTGTGTATCTTGGGGTGCTTCTCAATATCTCTCCTCGTTTCCTCGCTCCTCCGTCCTCCATCATATGACCCAGAAACTGATCGAGCTCAGGCATCTTGAAGGACATCTCAATTCTGTAATTGCACCGAGAGGAGGCAAGGAGTTCCAGTGGAGTAATGAGCGAGGATGCACAGGTGTATCCTTTGCAGAAGTGTTTTATCAACAAAACGTGACACGTATAAATTCTCCTCCCCCTTCACATCTGTCACAAAAATTATTTTTACTTTACCTTTGCAGTTTAAATAAACCACACATCTCACATGTTTCATCAGGGTATCTTGCTTTATTATTATTTATTATGAATTAAATAACCAAACTTCCTCAACATAAGGGCAGATCCTTTGAGCGCTCCTGATGACGCTGTGAAGTGACGCTTGAGTAATCAAGTATTCCAATGTATAAAAAAGCTTTCATTCAATTCCTCCATCCTCCTTTTCTTTCCTTGCAGCCTTCCCTCGCATCCTACAGGGGGTGGAGCTGAGACTCGAGGAAAGGAAGTGAGGAAAGGAAGCGAAGATGCACAAATAAGAATTGAGAAGCACCAGAGTGTTACGTTTTTTTTTTTTTTTTTTTTTTGCTGGCTTTGCAGGCTTGCCTTCAAGTGGCTTTGCTCTATCTTTCTAGTACGACCTGATTAGACCTTGATTATTTTGTTCAGGTGTGTTTGATTAGGGTTGGAGCTAAACTGTGCAAGAAAGTGAACCTTGAGGGCCAGAGTTGAGAGTCCCTGCTCTAAGGTATGTTAATATCCTTACAAGATATCTTTGTATAAACTTCAGTTGTCTGCTGAAGGGATTCTTTTATCTCTGTATTGTTCCGAATCTTTGAACCATAGAGAAATGAATTAGTAAATAGTTCTTGTTCACTCTCTGGAACCTGGAAGGTTAGAGAAACAAACAAATTCAGACCCATAAATGTTACTAGATGCATTTGTTGGAAGGCATTTTTCAATCTTTTAAATGCACTTAACCATTGAAAATGGTGGAGAATGTTGATGAAAATGCCAAAGTACTCACAAAACATTCACAGAGTCACAGTTACACATGTTATGAGGCTAATGTCACAGATGGTACCAGAATGATTTTGCACACTGCATTACTCACAGTGGTTATAATCATTTTACTCAGTGCTTCTTTATCACGTAGGACATCAGAGTCAGCTTTAAGTTAGAGCATTAGAATGATTAGACCAAACTGAGATGCAAACAGGAAACCGATGTACAGTATATTAACTGGAGGCATGAGAACTACTAATAGTTTAGTTCTCATGCATTTTGCCCACCTGTTACAGTTATAATGGCACTTCTCACATCCTGACCGACTCTGTTTTCTGCAGTGCAGTGGTACTCTCCTGAATCAGACTGGTGAATATTTGAGATGACTAATGTCCCATTATCTGTAAAATTACATTTAAAATTTTAAAAACAAGGGAAACCCTGCATCATATTAAACCACAGTCTGTTCTGTATGTAACACACCATCAATGTGTATCTGTTGTGGGAGTGAGACCAGAGACTTTGGATCAGACAGTTGTGAGTTTCCTATCAAAGCGGTTCTAATCCAAGTATATTTGACAGGAAAATCTCCTACGGCTCGACAAGGGAGTCTAACAGGAGATCCCTCTGAGGCAGTGAGTGATGCAACGAAGGAAACAATGACTGGTTTCACTGAAAACAAGAAGAAATACAAAGTTAGATTAGGGGTGAATTCCAATCGGAAGTGCGCAAGGGAGCAATGAAAGACTACGTAATTTCCTGGAATGTTACCATGTCCATGAGCCCATTTGCTGTTTATTAATTTATTATTGCTGTTAATATAATTGTTGCAAATAAATATACATTTTATAATGAAGTTTATATGCTTAAAATATGTGTGTGTTCCGTCTCTGCTCTCAACTTTAAAACTTGCCGTCTCTTGTTTGGACACTGTAAGCCGTCAACACTATCTAACCTACCTACTATTAAACTAATTTCTTACCTATGAAACCTATTTAACTTCATATGAAATGTATGATGTGTAAAACAAACAAAACAAAACGTCTCGGTTACGTATGGTAACTCTCGTTCCCTGAGGAGGGAATGGAGACGTCTCGTCGGAGGAGTTTCCAATGAATTGGGATCACGCTAGGGAGACCAATTGCCTTTGAGTGAATTAAAACGAGCCAATGAATATTGGCATGCAGGACTTGCATTCCGCGCCCCACCTGCCAGTGCGGGTATAAAGCGGAAGCGAGCGCACACACATATGCTTTACGCTGAGGAGCCGGACGGTCTCCAGTCCTCCGCGAAGGTACTGCAAGCATGGCGACGGGACAAGACGTCTCCGTTCCCTCCTCAGGGAACGAGGGTTACCATATGTAACCGAGACGTTCCCTTTCGTTCGGGAACTCCTACATCTCGTCGGAGGAGTTTCCAACGAATTGGGATCCCTAATAACACGCCATGTTGCTGGTGTCACGGTTCATGAATTCGCTGTTTTCTTCATGTCTCGTGTAATTGTTGTTATGTGTGTGTGAGCGTGTGTGAGTGGGCGTTACCGCTCGTTCCGCTGATCAGCGTACCAGCTGATCTCATTCTCTGCACCAGCTGCTGCAAATCATCTCTCCTATTTATACTCATCACACTCTCCTCTCTTTGTCAGATCGTTGTTTGGTGTTCACAGTGTTTGTTCCTCGCGTGTCCTGTCTGCAGTCCTGGTCCGGTTCGAGTTCCTGTTCAGTGTCTTCTCGGTTTCGTCTCGTCTGGATGTTCACCTGCACTTGGATTCACGACCAGCACTCTTCACCTGCACACTGACCATCTAGTCCCTGCGCCACCAGCCCACCCGTGTTGCTTGGACATTTATATTTTCACCTCTCAATAAAGAGTTACTTGCATCATTGCTTCCGCTTGTGATTGTGACAGAACGATCTGACCAAGAATGGAAGCAGCAAGTGAAGCCTCCTCTTCCTTGGAGGAATTCGTCAAGACCAGCATTGCACGGATGGATTCCCAGGAGAGGCACATGAGTGAGTCGGGTCGGGCTATTCAAGCTCTTGTGGCGCAGGTGTCCGAGCTCACCCAGCAATTCCAACTTATGCGAGCTCCCACTGCGCCACCCACACCGTCTGCTCCCCCCGTACCACCAGAGAGCGTCTCCCAGTCAGAGCCCCGCCTACCTGTTCCTGAGCCTTACAACGGTGAGCCGAATTTTTGCAGAGCATTTCTAACACGCTGTTCGATGCACTTTTCTCTACAGCCCAGGACCTTTGCTAGTGAACGAAGCAAGGTCGCATTTGTGCTCACGCTACTGACTGGGAGGGCAGCACTATGGGGGACGGCGGTGTGGGAGAACCAAGATCCGTGCTGCGCCTCGTTCCAGACACTCGCCGCCGAGATGAAGAAGGTTTTTGACCGTGCGGTCGCAGGAAGAGAAGCGGCTCGGATTCTCGCAGACCTCAAGCAAGGCAAAAAATCTGTATCTGATTACTCCATCGAGTTCCGGACGTTGGCGGCTGAGTGTCAATGGAACGAGGAGGCGCAGTGGGACATGTTCCTGCATGGGCTGGCTGACCGCGTCCAAAGAGAGATTTATGCCCTGGACTTACCAACTACTCTCAATGGACTGATCGAATTGGCACTTCGTGTGGATTCCCGACTTTCCCGAGTCGAACGTAGGAGGTTACCCGCTCGGATGTCTGGAGCAGTGGAGACCCTGCGTACCAGCGGCGGAGACGGGGTCAGCCCCGTCTTCGATCACGAGCCCATGCAGGTCGGGCGAGCTCGGCTTTCCCGGGAGGAGAAGGAAAGGCGGAGGTCCCAAGGCCTTTGCCTTTACTGTGGCACAGCGGGACACTTCGCGTTCAACTGCCCAGTAAAAGGGCAAGCCCGGCAGTAAATTTGAGGCTACTGTCGGGTGGGATCTCCGCTGAGAAGACCTCATCAACATCTACGCTCCTCCCGGTAAGACTAGGATGGTCAACCCACACTCACGACTGTCGAGCACTACTGGACTCTGGGGCGGAAGGTAACTTCATGGACTACACATTCGCACTCAAGATTCAGGCCCCCCTTCTGCCTCTCACCCGTACCATCGCAGTTCACGCTCTTAACGGTCAAGCGCTTCCCACCATTTCATTCACTACTGAACCCATCACACTCAGCGTGTCTGGCAATCACACTGAAACCATTACCTTTTACATTCTGGACTCCCCTCTTGCACCCGTTGTTTTAGGACACCCCTGGCTCATCAAACACAACCCCAAGATAGACTGGCAGCAGAGATCAGTATCTGAGTGGAGCAGTGAATGTCATGAGTCCTGTCTTGTGTCTGCTTGTCCGTTTGTTTCTGTCTCTTCGTTTCAGGAGGAAGCAGTGGATTTGTCAAACGTGCCCACGGAGTATCTAGACCTGAAGGAGGTGTTCAGTAAGTCTCGTGCTGCTTCTCTCCCTCCACATCGTCCCTATGACTGTGCTATAGAGTTACTGCCAGGTACGTCTCCGCCTAAGGGCAAGTTATATTCACTTTCTGTTCCAGAAAGAGAGGCCATGGAGAAATACATTTCTGATTCTCTAGCAGCTAAGTTCATCCGTCCCTCCTCTTCTCCAGCGGGGGCGGGGTTCTTTTTTGTGGGGAAGAAGGACGGATCCCTGCGACCTTGTATTGACTACCGGGGGCTGAACAGCATCACGGTAAAGAATACTTATCCTTTGCCGCTGATGTCTTCAGCCTTCGAGAGGTTGCAGGGAGCGTCGATCTTCACAAAATTGGATTTACGTAATGCTTATCATTTGGTTCGCATCAGGAGGGGGGATGAGTGGAAGACTGCTTTTAATACCCCCAGGGGGCACTTTGAATACTTGGTCATGCCTTTCGGCCTGTCCAACTCCCCAGCAGTCTTCCAGGCACTCGTCAACGACGTGCTGCGAGATATGGTCGATCAGTTCATATATGTCTACCTGGATGACATATTGATTTTTTCTTCTTCTCTCCAGGAACACGTGCAGCACGTTCGACGAGTGCTTCAGAGGCTGCTAGAGAATGGGCTTTTTGTCAAGGCGGAGAAATGCGCTTTTCATGCACAGTCTGGTCCCTTCTTAGGGTATATTGTGTCGTCTGAGGGTAAGCGTATGGATCCTGAAAAGGTTAAGGCTGTGGTAGATTGGCCAAGTCCAGATTCCTGTAAGGCCCTACAGCGGTTTCTGGGGTTCGCCAATTTTTACCGGCGGTTCATTCGCAATTTCAGCCAACTAGCCTCGCCTCTGACCGCCTTGACCTCCCCCAGAACTGCGTTCAGGTGGTCAGACGCAGCTGAGGCTGCGTTTGCCAAACTGAAAGGCCGCTTTGTTTCAGCCCCAATCTTGGTTACCCCTGATCCATCACGTCAGTTCGTGGTGGAGGTTGATGCGTCAGAGGTGGGGGTAGGTGCAGTGTTATCCCAACGTTCCCCTACAGACGACAGAATGCATCCGTGCGCGTTTTTGTCTCACCGTTTGTCTCCTGCCGAACGTAATTATGACATTGGTAATAGAGAGTTGTTGGCAGTCAAGTTAGCGTTGGAGGAATGGCGCCACTGGTTAGAAGGGTCGGGGGTACCTTTTATCGTCTGGACCGACCATAAGAATCTGGAATATATTAGAACCGCTAAAAGACTGAACTCTAGGCAGGCTCGGTGGGCACTTTTTTTCGGACGTTTTGACTTTACTCTCTCGTACCGCCCGGGTTCTAAAAACATCAAACCCGATTCTTTATCACGCATTTTTGACCATTCCGATCGCCCGTCTACTCCCGAGTGCATTTTTCCAGAGACCTTAATTATCTCTACACTCACATGGGAGGTCGAATCGAAGGTCAAGAAGGCCTTACAAGGGGTAACGCCTCCGGTCGGTTGTCCACCGAACCGGTTATTTGTGCCAGAGGGATTACGGTCTGAGGTCATTCAGTGGGGGCATTGTTCCAACGTGGCTTGTCATCCAGGAGTTAGTCGCACTACATCTTTAGTCAAGCAACGATTCTGGTGGCCACGTATGGCTCGCGACGTTCACAGTTTTGTTTTGGCTTGCTCAGTTTGTGCCACTGGTAAGACTTCCAATCGACCCCCAGATGGGCTCCTTCAACCGCTGCCGGTTCCTTCGAGACCCTGGTCCCATATCGCTCTAGATTTTGTCACCGCCCTCCCACCCTCTCAGGGTAACACGGTAGTTTTGACCGTGGTGGACCGGTTCTCGAAGGCGGCCCACTTTATTCCCTTGCCCAAATTACCCTCAGCCAAGGAGACAGCGTTTACAGTCGTTAACCACGTCTTTCGGTTACATGGCCTCCCGATGGACGTGGTTTCGGACAGAGGACCCCAATTTGTGTCCAAATTTTGGCAAGAGTTTTGTAAATTACTGGGTGCGACTGTTAGTCTGTCCTCAGGGTTTCATCCCCAGAGCAATGGCCAAACTGAGAGAGCCAACCAGGATTTGGAGAGAACGTTGCGATGTCTGGTCTCCAAGAATCCTTCCTCATGGAGCCAACAACTGTCAATGGTGGAGTACGCCCACAATTCGTTACCAGAGTCATCTACGGGCCTATCTCCGTTTGAGTGTAGTCTAGGTTACCAGCCACCAATTTTTCCTAGTCTGGAATCCGAAGTCGCGGTTCCCTCCGCTCACGCCTTCGTCCAGAGGTGTCATCGCACTTGGAC